CTCTTTTCCACGCCTTCAGGCGTATTGGGCATATAGGGCAAGAAATATTTTATAGACCAACCAGCACTTGATGGGTGAGGTGGTCAACACCATGCCGGCCGCCTTTACTTCCCAGGACTGCACCTGGTACCCACTCAAGGCTGGGTTGACCTGGGAGCCAAGGTCATTATTGAAGAAAGCCAGGTTCCGTCAGGAACCGAACCCACAACCTTCCAATACGCAGGCGAGCGTAGAATTGGAGTACATTACTATATTAAGGATTACACAACCACCTTTTCCGACTTATTTAATATACACATAGCACCAAAAGCTAGGGAAGTTACATACAGACTACTATTTAACACGACAGCAACAGCAGCAAGAGAAGCACGCACAGCTAAACAGAGAATACCCTGTAAGCTATGTAGACATAAAACACAAGAGACAGAGAAACATATATTCTATGCATGTCCAACAGTAAAATCTACCCGTCAAGCCCTAAAAGAATTAATACAAACACAGATACACAAGATGACCAATATTTATATTGCAATTTCTCTCAACACCACACCCAAATCCAGCAAAGAAATACATAACAAAATACTAATTAAAAAAACAAAAACCCAAGATTTAAAAAATCTGAACCCAAGGAGTGGTCCAGTATAGAGAATTGGTTTGGACATGCAGAAATTTGGCCACCTTTAGGTGAAGAATTTACAAGGCATGTTTTATTCTTTACATATTCAAACATAAAATGCCGAAACCATTTCCGCTTGGACTTTTATTTTTATTCTTAATAATTAAATTATCTTTTGAGCAATGGCCACCTTTACTTTCCAGGACTTTACTAGGTAAGTGTTTTTGACTGAAAAAAAATCTTGCTTGATGTGAATTCGAACTCCAGACCTTCGGGCCGACATGCGAGCGTCTAGTCCCTACACCACCATGGCTCTCCAATAAAAATAATAATAACGAAAATGATGTTGTCCCTGTGTGAATTCCAGGGCCCCGTTGTGTGTGTGTGGGTGTGGGGGGGGGGGGGGGGGGCAATAGACTCCCTGCCCTCTTTGGAACAAGCATGTAATAAGAGTCTACTAATTAGGGATGTTTTCATCGAAGTCGGAGCACGTCTGTCTGAGAGGCTACGAAACAACAGTCTGCATACAAATAAACCATTTCTATAAAACGGCATGCATACAAAACTCAGGTTTTAGAACAAGACAGGTCCAGAAGTGAATGAAGCAGTCAAAACTTTCTGCCGGAGCTTACAGTCGGTTAACACATGAAGAAGAAGAAGAAGAAGAAGAAGAAGAAGAAGAAGAAGAAGAAGAAGAAGAAGAAGAAGAAGAAGAAGAAGAAGAAGAAGAAGATGATGATGATGATGAGGAGGAGGAGGAGGAGGAGGAGGAGGAGGAGGGAAAAAAACATGATATTTATATGAAGTTAGTAAAGCCACCCTGTACTATTAATGCCACCACAACACCACTGAATCCTTAACTTACTCAGCGTGTGGTCTCTACAACATATATAGGTTTCAGTCTGCAAGCATACTCAAAGTCAAACAGACAGAAAGCTCGATATCGCCATCTTGTCCATGGCCAGGAACTTTCCCAGAGTTCACTGATGAAGAAATTTGATGAAGCTCAGTGCAGACGACAGTCGGCCACAAACGTGACTTCGGACAGTGCTCACATCAGGAGAGATGGGCAACTAGGCACAGACAGGTCTGGAAGATGTAACGTTGTTTTTATTTTATGTGGATACGTAACCAATCAGATGGGTTGGTCATGTAACAAAATTGGCATCAGACAACGTACCACAGAGAGCAATGTTATACAGATACAGTAGTCGATCATGGAGAAAATGGACCGCAGAAATATTAGACATTGAAAAGCACTTTATATGAAGCGAATAGAAGGGCACGTTCCAGAGATTTTTTCCTGTCCTGACGCCGCGAGAAATAGAGAAAAGTAGAAGAAAAAGACGTTCCTTGTGTGTTTTTCAGGGTCCCGTTGGGGGTGGAGGAGAGTTGGGTAGGAAAATAAATCCACTGTCCTTTAGCAAGTAGATAGTAAAAGATACGATCAGCTCCAGCAATAAGACCGAATAGGTCTTTATTATTTCAGGAACATTATGAAGATTAAAAAATGAGCCATTAGAAAATAGAATAAAAATCATAAAATATTCAATTAATTATGGTGCAGGTTAATTAAACTGTAGTTTAATTTGTGTATAAATTTCTCGATAACAATGGTGAGCACAGACCGGCCGTGGACCTGCCTAACAAAACGGGAATTTTCGTAGACCTGTTCGGCCTTACTGCTGGAGATGGCCGAAGTAAAAGTCTACTAATTAACGGTTTGCTACAATCGGATCTTTTGCACCGATAGGTGTAGTTGGAGTACACCTATCTGTGGAGCAAGGAACCTGTCTTAATACAAATTAATCAGATATGTAAAACTAATATTCTGGGAAGAAGGCTGCAGTCTAGAAGTGGATGAATAACCAGAAGTTTCCTCCAGAGTTTACAGCCGATGAGCACAAAAGTTTTTTAAAAAGAAAGAAGTCAGACAGACATACAGACGGATGGACGAATGAATGGTTGGATGGAATAATGGGTGACGGACGGACAGACAGACAGACAGACAGACAGACAGACAGACAGACAGACAGACAGACAGACAGACAGACAGACAGACAGACAGACAGACAGACAGACAGACAGACAGACAGACAGACAGACAGACAGACAGACAGACAGACAGACAGACAGACAGACAGACAGACAGACAGACAGACAGACAGACAGACAGACAGACAGACAGACAGACAGACAGACAGACAGACAGACAGACAGACAGACAGACAGACAGACAGACAGACAGACAGACAGACAGACAGACAGATAGATAGATAGATAGATAGATAGATAGATAGATAGATAGATAGATAGATAGATAGATAGATAGATAGATAGATAGATAGATAGATAGATAGATAGATAGATAGATAGATAGATAGATAGATAGATAGATAGATAGATAGATAGATAGATAGATAGATAGATAGATAGATAGATAGATAGATAGATAGATAGATAGATAGATAGATAGATAGATAGATAGATAGATAGATAGATAGATAGATAGATAGATAGATAGATAGATAGATAGATAGATAGATAGATAGATAGATAGATAGATAGATAGATAGATAGATAGATAGATAGATAGATAGATAGATACAAATGATCGCTAGTTGAAATGATCGACTTCAAATAATTATGTTTTTATTTATCTCAGTGCAAATAAAAAACCGCGATGGAAAAACGCCACGAAAGAAATCCGCCAACACTTGCTGGCAACACGTATGCAGTTGCCTAGAGCTCTACCCAAGTCCGAATTCATTGTCTACGTGTCTTCAACTCCAGGTCAGTGGAAGAATTACACGCTTAGTTTTGAATAGTGGGTATTGGGCTGTTTTATTGGCCGGAACAAGTCACAGGTTTAAAGTCCAATCGACACAACATCATGCTGGACGCCTTTACTCCCTAGGACATTTTCTGCTACCAATGTTAGGCTGCGTCGACCTAAGAGCCAATATCAGTTTTGAGGACTAAGAAATCGAATCAAAAACATTCGGAACGGTAGGCGAGCGTCAAACCACTATGTTGTTGTTATTATTATTGTTGTTGTTGTTGTTGTTATTATTATTATTATTATTATTATTATTATTATTATTATTATTATTGTACTGAATGTCAAACAATGTACTTGAAATAATATTAAATATAAAGTTAACAAATACTTCTAAAGAAAGTAAATATACATGGTTAAATGGGGCCTATTAGCCCTTTACACAATTAGAGATTAGATGAGGAGGCTGTTCTCCCCCTCCCCCCCCCCCCCCAACCTACCCCATGGGGAAGGGGGCGATGAGGATCAAGGAAATGGAGCCTCTGGCTTCGGTGCTTATGCTGAACAAAAATGCCAAACTGCCCACATTTCCCCCGATTATCTCAGACAGTCTTTCTGATCCTACCCTGACTTGTTATATCTAGCCAGGAAACAAATTACTCATTCTTTGAGACCACATGCACTAACACGAAACTTATTATCACAGGCTTGGTAACTGTTATTCTATGGTAGGACAGACGCAGTCACTTGCCTAATAACTGTTTTATTTTAGCATAGGTCAAATACAGACATGACAGGATAATTAAGGCAGACTGGTATCTGTTTTTTCTATGTGAAGTCATTTCAAGTCACCTGAAGTCGCTGGATTGATGAATAGAACAAGCCGTTTTCAGCAAAGAGCTTACTTTAGTTGTTTGGCGGTGGGGGAGGGAGTGCGTGTGTTGTCCACGAAGCATGATCCCTCACTTATACTGCTCTGCTAGCTGTAAAGGAAAGGTAACACAAATACGTTTGGAACAAAGTAGGTTGCAAATACTGTCGGATCAGAAGAACAGTTCTCTGTCTTCATGTCGGACCTTTCCTCCTATACCACAAGGGTCTGATCTGTCTGCAATATTAGGTTGCCTTTTTTCGTCCTGAGGTTTGAGGTTTCAACAACGGATCAATTTCATGGAACACGGGTAGTAACCCATAAGTGCTCTGTTCTTTTTTTGACACAAGTTTGAGTACGAAGAATCTCAGCACAGTGCACAGGCTCTGTAGCTCCGGCGAGGATCCTGAAATACTTTGGGTAGATTTTTTACTCCAAATTTTGCCTGGGCTACAATTATCGATTTCCAACCGCCAAGGGATTTTTTTACGTGCGTAACAATGCACACGGGCATACGATCTCACTACCCAGAGACCGGGGGGGGGGGGGGGGGGGGGGGGCAATTACTAGAAGTCCTAGTCCACGTGAAAGAATCCCAGCCCTTACCGGGGATTGAACCCGGAACCTCTAGCACTCAAGGCGGACACCATGCCTCGAGACCACGCAGCCCCCTTCCCCGTGCTGAGATGAGGGTGCTATTTGTGGACATATTCGTTTCTTGTTTACGCACACAGATTTACAAGAAGAGCGCGAGTTCCTGGAAGAGGTCACCTACCCGAGACTTCTAAAACTCTGTGAGGACCAAGGGTTGAGTTGTCACGTGATAGACTTGCGCTGTGGGTCAGGGGTGTTGCCCAACGACCTTGAAACGTTTCACCTCATTGAGAAGGAACTACAGCGATCTAGGAACGAGTCGATTGGACCATACTTCATAGTAAGTAGATTGTTTTATGAAGTAGGAGATTAACTTATGAACTACGTAGGTGAGATTTTGAACAAGTAGAAAACTTAAAAGTTGCTGGCCGAACGGTTAAAAACGATAGGCTCTAGTGCGATACAGCCAGGTTTAAATCCTTGATAAGGGAATTTTTTTCTGTCAGGGGCAAAAATCAAGAAAAAAATCCCATTTCACTGCACAGTCCGTGGCGACAGCACTAGATATGAGAGGAAAAATGGAGGTGGTGGGGCTTCCATCTCCAAAATGTTTAATGGGATTGAGGTGTCCTTTGATCCTAACGCTGAAGCAAAATTAAGACTAATACTCTCTCTCTCTCTCTCTCTCTGTTGGTAACATGATGTTTAGGGGAACAATCATTTTCAAAGCCAAAGGGAATTAAAAAATGAACAGAGAGTAGTAGTAGTACATTTTACCTCACTAGGACAAGAGCGATAAACATCCGATGACACAAAGTGCCACTATGTGGATGAGGATCACCCGTGTAGAGGTCCCAAAAACCCCTTTTAGCCATTAGACCATATTTATGGCTACGCTATATTGCAGCCCCTGGAAAAAGCCAGAATGGCGCTTCAAAATAACGAAAAATTTCATCCCACAAGGAGATGATGTAAGATTTGAACAGAGAGCGACTTCGTCTCAAGACAAATTGTCTGCACCTAGTACCATGCGTATAGAAAGCAACTTGTCATGCAACACACCATTTGGTGACATAATTTATGACTTTGTGTTTGGGAAATCAAGAAAACAAGCTTTAAGTTGTAACTAAGAGTCCTTTAGAAAAGTGTATAATATAATTCATGTGATTTTGCAAACACGTTCTTTATTCTTTAAACAAATATCATCCTCATGTGGCAGGTCGTTCGCAAACGTCGCCACGGTCTGCCTAAAAGAAACTCAGTCTCTCGCCAATTCTCCCGCCTCGTGTACTTTCATTTTCAAGGAGTCACATATATCCTGTGCCCATCTTTGTGTTGGCTGGCCACTGCCCCCTTTGTCTGGTACTATGCCTTCTACAATTATTTGTTCCAATCCGTCATGACGATTGATATGACAAAAATATTGCAGCTTCCGATACAGTTTGCTGTTTTCTAGCCAATCTTCCTTGATGTTCAAATCTTTTAAAATTTCATTTTAGTGGGTGGGGAGGGAAGGGAGAGGGGGGAGGGGGGGTTGGGACTGTTGAACTGCGTTCGCCTCTCCCCGTGTTGTTTGTATGCCGTGGTGAATGCCATGAACTCATTGAGATGTCCTGATCCTAACATGCCAGTCTCTTGTGGGTCATACGCTGGACGACCAGGACCTGCCAGGCTTCCTGCCCCAGCCAGCCTACGAGCTCATCAGGAAAACGTTGATCAAGGAGAAGATTATTGGAGTCGAGGCTTTCGATGATGTTTACAGACTGGACTCCAACCAGGTGCCACCCGTCTACATCAAACAGGTAATAATCTGTCCACATTATCTCGAATATTTCGAATTTCGAATATCTTGGGTCACTGGTTACCAACAATGGTGACACAATGAAAGAAATTAAACGGCGACTATCAATTGCTCTTCAAAGACTAAAACAACTGAATAAATTATGGAATTGTACAGATAGAACTACAAAGGTAAGATTTTTAAGAGCATGCATCTTTCCCATTGCAACATACGCCTGTGAGACCTGGACACTTACTAAACAAGCGGAACAGCGCATAAATGCATTTGAATATAAATGTTACAGACAGGTTCTAAGAATATCTTGGGTAAAGAAAAGAACAAATGCATCCATACTTCAAGAGCTGAATATTGAAGAGGGTTGGCTAGTAAAGACAATAAAACAAAGAAAATTGAAATATTTTGGTCACTTGAAACGTCATGGAAGTCTAGAGAGAACAATAATGGAGGGGTATATGCCTGGGAAGAGAGGAAGAGGAAGGCCAAGGAGAAGATGGGTGCAGGATGTGGCAGATGATCTCCAGATGGGTGTATCAGACGCAGGACATCTTGCTCAGGATAGGAAGGTTTTCCGGAGGGTTGTTATGGCAGCGAGGTTCCGCGAGGGACATGCTACTGAATGAATGAATGAACATTATCTGATTAGTTTAAATTATATGTGGAAGTGTGGGTTCCGGGATCCCATTTTTTGGGTCCACTGCCCCCTAAGTCTACTTAAGTCGAACAATGCGACTAATTAGGGACGTTTCCTTTGAAGTGACAGTGCATCTGCTTGAGAGGGTAGAAACCAACAGTCTGCTAACAAATAAGCCAGATATCTTAAATGAATATGAATGCTCATTGGTTGGGGGGGGGGGGGGGGGGGGGGGGGTGGGGGGGGGGAGGAGAGGGTTGTGATTTCATGAAAAGGGTGGGGGCCGAGAATAGACCCACTGCCTCCATGGCAAGCATGTCGACTAATTAGGGGTTTCCTTCAAAGACTGAGTGCAGTTAGCAGTATAGCTATTTCGCTATAAGCCAAAAAGACAACGGAAATAAAGGGATACATATAACACTTGGAGAGAATTAGAGGCATATGAATAACATACGGGGTTGGGGAAGGGGGATGTGGTGTCAGTTGCAGGAGCTTTCAACGGTTAGGAGAGTAAGGTGTGGGTTTGTTGCGGGGTTGCAACTCCAGATAAAAAAAATATAAAGAAGTTAGCTGCATATAATTTGCAGGATTTCGCAAAACACACCCCCCCCCCCTCCGTACTTATTGGCTTTTGTGTGAGTTTAAAAGGCAATATTACGTTTAGTAGTTTGTCACTGCTGACTGGACGTTACGATGATCATACCGTTGTTCTAACAAATCACATGCAGCTGAAATGAATCCCAGTATATCAAGATTGTGAAAACTATGTTCACAACCCTTAAGTTCTGACTATACAATTACGAAGACATTTGGTTATTTCTGTGTATTTCTGTGAGGTCCTTGGCTTCTAAGAAGACCCAGCCTTTAGTGGGTACCTGGCGCAGTTCTGGGAAGTAAAGGCTGCCGGCATCACCCACCAAGTACCGATTGGTCTATAAAAAATATACGTCTAACCCTCTATTCCCAATACGCCTAACGGCGAGGAAAAGAGGACTTTAAAAAAATAAAAATAAAATATTTCTGTGAAGTTGCGATTTCTAAGTATAATCTAAACCGAGCTCGGCGTTCTACAGCCTATCACAGCGTTGGAGGAATACACAAGCGTGGAGGAGGTGGTGACTCTTCTCTACAGTGCCCTCACACAGGCTGTCAACGTGATTTCCAGGATCAAGGACACAGCACAGGCTTCTGACGTCGACTTCTACAGATGGTCAGGTGAGTCCGCAACAAATCAATGAATCAGTGATTAAAAGGGTTCGAATAATCTTCTTCTTCTACTTTGCGTCCACTCTTGCGTAAAATTCTAGTTGTTGTTCATTTCTGTGCTGTAGTTTGTTCCATAACTCGTTTTGGGTGCACATCCGTTTTACAGATCCGGCTTATTTGTATGCAGACTGTTGGTTCATCTCCTCTTAGTCACATGCACTGTGACTTTGAATTAAACACTCTTAATTAGTAGGCTTTTATAACAACATGCTTGCTGGGGGAGGATGGGTGGGGGCAGTATTTCTCCCCCCCCCCCCACAATGGGGCCCACAAATCCACATAGAGAGTTCAAATAAACAAGACACAAACAAAACGTTGTGCAGTTTTTTTTTTTCTCTGGTGCATTCTGTAGCACATCAGCTGCATGCTACATGATTAAGTCATGATACAATTAAATTAAATGCCTAATACAACACACAGAGTGACTAGAACACTCAGCTATGGGATTGGAACAGACGCATACAAAATACAAACGAACGTATCGACCAAAGTCTTTATCAACGGACTACTAAATACAACAGACATTGTGACAGGAAAACTCAGCGGACAAGACAACAGAGCTTCTAAGCAACCAAGGTCAACATGAACCAAGAAATCCGCAATGGGGAGAAAAATATGGACATACAATGAAGCATAGGAGTAAATCCTTTTAACTGACACGTACAGCATAAATTAGAGCGGCGACAGCGCAGTGGCTGGATGTGTGCCTGCCGACCCGAAAGTGTCTTGGGCTCGAATTCCAGTATAAGTAAAAAAAAAAAAAGTAAAGATCCCTTTACACGCCCTTAGGCGCATCGGGAATATGGGAAGAGCACCCATATTTTTACTGACCAATCGGCACTCGGTGGGTAATGTGGTCAGCATTACGCCGGCCGTCTTTACTTTCCCAGGACAGCCCATCCTGGTACCCATTTGAGGCTGGGTCGACCTGCGACGTCCCATACCACGATAAAAATCCACGCAGCCCACGCAGGTTTCGATCGCGGTACGTTGGATTACGAGTCAGACTCGCAACGCCTTAGCCACGGACGCCGAAATCCTAGGTCGAGTCGGGACATGTCCTGTGAAGTTTGAGGTTTGAGCAACGGATTAACATCATGAATAATCCATAAGTGCTCTGTTCTTTTTCTAACTCAATTATGAGTCCGAAGAAGCTCAGTCCAGTGCATAAGCTCTGTAGCACCGGTGAGGATCCTGAAAAACTTTAGGTAGATTTTAAACTCCAAATTGTGTCTGGGCAGCGCCGTTAGGCTACTTTTTTCGATTTCCAACTGCCAAGGTGTTTTTTATTTGCGCAACAATGCACACGGGCGTCCGATCTCACTATCCAGAGACTAGGGGGAATTACTAAAAGTCCAACCAATCACACTAAAGTTTAGAAATGAAGTAAAAACGAAGAAAATTAGCAGATTATGAAAAAACAGTTTTCCTGTAATCTTTATTAGTATACTTCTCCCTCTTCTTTTACGTTACTGTTTATACTTATGCAGTAAAGAGAGGAGTTATGTGTAGTTTCCTGCAGTGTCTTTTCTACTCGCTCCACCCATATTTTTCTTGGTCGACATCTCGACGTGTAGCTTGCTGTTATTATGTAGTGCCTTCTAGCTGCTGGCTAATTTGTTTCCTTTCTGACTAGATGACCAAACCGTGTGATTCTCTGATGCTTTTTGAAATAATTTTCAGGTACTGGCATTGTGCCTATTATTGTTCTTAGTTCTTCTGTGGTGACTCTGTATGTATCTTCTTGTTTGTTCCGCAGCATTTCTTATACCTCCCATATCACATGTAATTTTGCGTGTATGTTTTTATAGGACTGTCCATGACTGGTGTTGACCGCAAAAAGTTCGTACCAACAGCCCATTTATCAGCCGATTGTTTTGTATTCATGTTTTGCTATTTCAGCTGTTGTTAAAGAAATAGAGTGCGGACTGATATCCACTCCCATTCCTCGCCACGACACTCTGTGCTTCATGATGGATTTAGACAAGGACCAGGACACCGAGGAGGAGCAGGGGGATGACATCACACCAATACAACGTCTGAGACTTGAAGTCTGTCAGCACTACGAGCGAAATCCTGGCAGGCACAGACTGATTAGCCTCAACAGTGGGACAAAGAGTATGCAATATCTGAGGTCAGTCGACTAAGTTTGTACAACTCTCAGGATATAACTAACTCTATTGTAGGCATCCTCAAGATCAAGTACTGCCACTACCATCTCCTGTCTTTTCTGAAACGCCTCAAAAAAATCAAAAGCAAAAGTAGCTGCATTTGACCAGGTATCTTTCGTTGGCTGGTAAATATCCAAATTTGTTGGCAGGAGCTTTTCCCTTTTCCAAAACATTTGTATAGTAACAGCAACAATCTTCTCTAGCACCCTGCCAAAAGTATTTTCTAGGGTGAAAATCCTTAAACCGCTGAGTCTGGAGTGATCGTTGTCTGGTTTTGGAAACGGGATTAGGTAGCTGTGTACCCATTCCTACGTCTGCATCTACTATAGCCTCTGAAAAAGCATTTCTTTCCGCAGTCCTGTCCCATTCTCTGTTCCGTGCATCGAAATCCCCACAAAATAGAAGCCTAGTGCCTAGGATTTCTTCCAACTCTTTGAGCTGGTCCTAATGTTCCTTTATGACAAGAGAATTGACAGTAGTGTAAACATTTACTAATTCTGTTTTGTGCCCCTATTATCTATCTGTATACCACGAACTTCTGTTGTACTGTGATACCACTGACTCAGGTCAAGAGCCACATGCTTCACCCCATTCTTCACCAACAGACATTGCCCATGTCTTCCCTATCCGGTAGGATTTATATAACTAATATATCCAGGACACTCTTATCTATGTTTAATTCCTGAAGCATTATGATTTCAAAGTCATCAATCAGGTCCTCTCTGCCAGTCACTATGACAATTCCAGCAACACACGCTAACTTGCTTTAATCCCAGACGCTCCGTTTTTCGCATCTCTCCGAGTTCAGACTCTCTTATTCTGATGCCTTCTTCTCTCTCTATTCCATTGTCTTCCGTTGTCACCTAAAGATGATGCCATGCACAGAGCGCGTACTCCGTAGCTCCGGCGTTGATTCTTAGTAAGTACAAAATTCATAGAAAAATTCTTTTAACGCAGGAAGTAAACGATCACCCTAGTATTGCCTGCTTGCTAGGGAGGAGGCAGGGAATGTCCTAAAGGAATCCATACACCTAGCGCCGCCCCATCCACTAACCAAACGTTCCAGGTTTACGACTGTATAGACAAAATCCATTAAGACAATAAGCACGTAGGTCCACCTTGAGCTTAAGGTGTTTTTTTTTTTTTTAATCGAGGTTGTCTGCTCTAAATCCATTGTTTTTGTGCCTGTTCGGTTACGCACAGCGGTCTTGACTGTGGAAGGGGTTTCTTGATCAAGGGACTTACGACTCTTTCACCCTAAAGGTACAAGTACTCATAGGGCTAGACCAAGCTCTCAAACGAGAAAGGCTGTGGGTGCTCCACTACGCAAGAGATCCGACATCTACAGCCCTGGATCTCTCTGACCCGTGTGTATTCCGGTGCAAAAGTGTCAAGTAAGGGTGTTGAGACGGATCAGGTTTACAGGTCGCAAAAACATCCAGCACTTAAGAATTGTAATAATAATAAAGTAACAGTTAGCGTGGAAAATCTCGACAAGTGTGCTTCTTCTTCACTTCCTCTTTTACCGCTGTGGGTGTCGAGGGAGATATTAGGTTCTGTTTCTAGCTCTTCTGGCCGCCTCGACCATAGGCACATCGTGCTGTTGTAGAGTTTCTCTGATGTTATATTTCTATCTTGTTCTTGGTCTACCTTGTGCTCTACGTCCTTCTTCTCTTTCCATGTATGCTCTGTATGGTATGGTGTCACAGGGCATTCTCTCTAACTGGGCAAACCATTTCACTTGCTGTCTTTGTATGTAATTTAGAATTGGTTTTGTGCCGACTTTTTCTCTTATGATCTCATTCCTGATCTTATCTCTTATGGTCACTTCTACAGCCCTTCTCAGACATCTCATTTCCGTGGTTACTAATTTTCTTTTATGGTTTGTTGTGAGTGACCATGTCTGGCACTGGTAGCACAGAGTTGGAATAAATATGCTTTGAATAAGATGTCTCTTTGTGCTGATTGGGATTGTCTTATGCTGTAAGAGGCGGGCTAGCTGTCCCAATACTTGGTTTGCTTTACTGCATCTAATGTCAATTTCTTTATCCAATTTCCCATCTTCGGTATATGTAGTTCCCGAAAAGTGTGCTACTGTGCCTAATTTCTGTAGACTTCCACAGAATGTGAGGTGCTGTTAAAAAGATACGCATTTTTTGTCATTTGCAGGTCTATATCAGACGTTATTGAATCTCGCATTGTATCGCTTTTGAGCACTCAAATACAACGCCAAGAATACAACATACCACAACAACTTTCTGAGGGAACCGAAGCCCTTCAGCATGTTCGATTAGCAACCAAGCATCCACAAAAGATTATCGGTAATGAAGACACCATTTCGGCGATCAAAGAAATTATAGAGCGGGCGGACTCAGAGCCGAAGATTTTATTACTCTGGGGCCAGAGCGGCTCTGGAAAATCTTCTATCATTTCTAAAATGTGCAGAGATTCTGTGCAGTGGCAGTCTGGACGCAAGGTGGTGATTCGGATCTTGGGAACCACTTTGAGGTCTTCCAGTTTGTTTAGAGTGCTCGAGAGTTTAGTTAAACAATTGACTTTTCTGTACTCTCTCAATACTAAGCTGCCCCAAGACATGAACCTTCAGAAGGCAGTGTCGCTGTTTTGTCAAACACTTGAAGCAGTCAGTGCTAGGAGGGAAATGTATGGGAGTCTCCTTCTTGTACTAGATCAGCTTGAGATGTTGCCTGAGTTGAATGCACATCATCTTCTCTGTATACTGAACTCTGTGACAGCAGGTATTACGCTGGTGCTAACGCTTCAAACGCCACATCCACTGTTCAGCATCTTGAGATCAAATAAAAACGTTCACACAATCTCTACAGCATACATGGACAAGAATGATTTCTGTATTTGCTTACAGAACAGTCTTAAGGTCATCAGTCGTTTGGTGACAGATGACCAGCTTCAGTCAGCCATGGACGCTCTACCCCCAGACATAACCCCATTGAACGCCCAGTTGCTGTTTTCCCTAACTCGATGGTGGCAGTCACATACTCTTGCAGAACTGAAGCCTCTCTCAGACAAACCCGAAGTGAACTTCAACATATTTCTGGAGTTAACTGAGAAGCAGCTAGGACGAGCATTCACACGGCACGCCTTATCAGTTCTGGCCTCTGCTAGACACGGACTGGCAGACCACGAAATCCTCCATCTTCTTTCTAAAGATTCCGAGCTTCTAAACGAGATCACAGAGGAGAACAAGGAGATTGTTAGTGTGGTCGAAGGGTACCCGTATAAGCTTCAAATATCCCAGCTCATCTCTAGACTAAGTCCGTTTGTAAGCAGAGTCAAGCTTGAAGGAGAAACCGTATACCAAATCCAACCTAGATCGCTCACCATTGCCATTTCATCGAAATATCTCAGCGACAGTTTCTTTCATGATGTTCATTTTCGACTTGCAAACTTCTTCCTGTTTATCAGGAAAGGGCTGCTACTGAGCTCAAAGGAAATGTCTGAGCAAAGTCATAAAGAACTGTCCAAATGTCACTGGCGAATGTTACGATGCATCCCTTACCACCTATGTCACAGTTCGGACGATACTGCTTGTGTCTGGACAAGATTGAAGGACAAAGTATTCTACAATTTTGCCTGGCTCATCAACGTAATTTATTTTGGCTGTTTCAATGAATTACTTGATGATATCAGTTACTGTTTAGATGCCGTTAGCCTTGACCCAGATATTCAGTACTTGCAGCAGATACTGATATCCGCCCGGGCAACGGTCACGCACAACCCACTTTCTCTTGCCGCAATATTTGCGAATCTTAACATCAAGAACTCATATCGTGAGTCGGACTCTATGGAAGCTATAGTGAAGGAGGCACAATTATGGTTGAAGCAAATTCAAGTCCAAACTTTGGTACCCATGTCTTATACTTCCACAAGAATCGACAGACTCCTGATCGAGGACAAATGTATGCTCAATATTTCTGATGTCATATTCATCAACAACACGGACAAACTGCTGATTCAAAGAATGAGAAATGTGTTTGTGTATCACATGCTGACACACGAAGAATTTCTCCTTGATGCTCTCAAAGATGACATCGATTCAGTTCATCTCGTTGATGGAGTAAACGTCGTCATTCTAACAAAAGACAGCTTTTGTAAATTTACAGCACAGGTGTACTGTCTAGAAACAGACACACGCATAAGAACTGTGTCATTGACAAATTCAGCCATACTTTGGCTTGATGTTAGGTCTCTCCAGATGTCATACATTTCTGTCGGTTCCAGTATTAAGCGGGCTGATTTAGAACGAGGATCTGTGTTGAATGTTCTAACAACAAGGATTGAATGGGCAAGTGCGTGTATCTCTTCAGGGAAACCAGATACAGTCTTCACCGTTACTGTTGGTAACAAAACAAGGATCGAAGCAACGCCTTTTCATGATGTTACCGAGACAAAATATATAACTTTAAATAACACATCGCCTAATACACTCTGCAAAAGTATGTTTTCTACGAAAAATGGAAGACACCTAATTTATGTAACAGAAATACGAGCAGTCGTGATAGACTGTTCCACGTTCACTGTCATCAGTACTTATACTTACAAAAACTTACCAATCATCAAAGCAGAACTTTCTAGAAGCCACGAGCACGTTTTCCTCGCCTTCGCCAAAGGTACCATCATATGCTATGTACTGCATTCAGGCAGTCAAAGTATGATCGCTCAAATTAATTCTAAAGCACACTTATCTCCAGACAACCCAGATGAACCCGCCCGACCTGCAGCAGACAATTCACCAGATCGTCACCATCTGACTGAGATCTTCACCTCGCTCGTCACATCCGAAGACGACCATTTCCTGTTTTGTGGAACCAATCAGGGTCACGTGTACGTGGTTCATGTACCAACAGGGCTGCAGTTGGTAGACATTACCACCCAACAGCAGTCTATCCCCAAGATTGTCTATGTTACCAGCAAGAACCACTTTCAGCACATTATCACACTTGATGTGGAGGGGACTGCTCTACATTGGAATTTGAGACCATTACTGAAGTAGGTATCAATATGTCGTGTGTACTATCGTGTGTGTGTGTGGATGTGCGGTGGCGTAGCGGTTTCGGATTCGAAGGTCGTGAGTTCAAATCCGAACAGGGCTGCACTTTTAAAAAAATGTCTCTAAAACTTCGAATCCACAGCCTTACATGGGTACTAGGTAAAGTCGTTGGAAGTAAAGGCGAATAGCGTGTTGTCCACCACATCACTCACCGAGTCTATAAAATAAGGTCAATCACTATACGTACGAAACACATAAGGGCGTGGGAAAGGGCAGTTATTGTTGCTGTCCTTATAAACCAATTTAGTGTCAATAACGATAATAGAAATGATGACATCCATTGACAAGACATCAGCAGCTTTTGATAGCTAGAACAGAATGTGCAACTCTAGATTGTTTAGTTTCAAAACCAAATTACGTAATTTTAGTTCTAACATCATTTTAATTTTAACAAATGTAAGTGAAATTTAAGAACCACTAAGAACATAGGATGAAAGTTAAATGCATTCGAAAAATATTGTCTGAGGAAAATCATTTTAAAAAAATTGGACGACTTCAAAAGGAGTGAAGCAGCGGCTAACCCAGCAGTTACAACGTCGGCTCTTATGTAAAGCGAGCCCTATTTGACACTATAATGGCACAACATGATAATGAATAAATGAAAGAACAATAATAGATGCGACATAAGCATCCGTGTCGCACGTCTGTTCTTATTTCAAAGGTATCGGTTAATTTTCTCTTATGAAGAACTGAACTCAACATGTCTTTATATGTTGCCTAACTCTTTTGTATTTATGCCATAAGTATCAGTGCTTTGTATACCTGTAAATAAAGTATTCATCTGGCTTACCTATGTAAGACGTAGGTTTTAAAATGTTATGTGAATGTAGGAGTTATCAATATGTTCCGTGTAGGAATTATGCACGAATCTCTAATGAGAGATAAAGGAAAGAAGAAGAAAAAGAAGAAGAAGAAGAAGAAGAAGAAGAAGAAGAAGAAGAAGAAGAAGAAGAAGAAGAAGAAGAAGAAGAAGAAGAAGAAGAAGAAGAAGAAGAAGAAGAAGAAGAAGAAGAAGAAGAAGAAGAAAAAGAAGAAGAAGAAGAAGAAGAAGAAGAAGAAGAAGAAGAAGAAGAAGAAGAAGAAGAAGAAGAAGAAGAAGAAGAAGAAGAAGAAGAAGAAGAAGAAGAAGAAGAAGAAGAAGAAGAAGAAGAAGAAGAAGAAGAAGAAGAATGAGGAGGAGGAAATTTGTTTTAAAAAAAGAAGAATTGTGGAGCGCTCTCATCGTGTGTATATAAAGATATATATAAACAAATGTCCACAGGCAAGCAAGGGTGATTCTCCAAGACTACATCACTGACAAGGACCTGTACAAGGAAGAGGAAACAAAATTAGACTTCAACAAATATTTCACCATCTACGAATCCAAAAGAAACAACAGAATGTTCCTTAACGGCCCAGATATCAAATCCTTTTACCAAATTCCGTCTTCTGAAATATTTTCCCATCTGGGCAACTTGGATCCAGCTTTTGGTGTGGCCAGTGACTGGGAAAGAACAGGTAGGTACGTTTGCTTCAGCTGTTGCAGCAAGTTACTTTAACTGTTTCTATCCGAAACGATTGTCTCTATAAACCAATGAAAGTTACTTCTAAAGATGTTTGGGTAATAACTTAATTATTTTTTAATGTAAAAAGTGTAAAGGGGATGAACAGACGTATGATGTGATACTTTGCACTGAATGAGCTGCTGAGTTGCGTGCGACGGCGACACAGGCAGACAGTTTTTTTTTTATCAGCTGTTCGTACTGGTGGCAGAGCACTTATGGTTTATAACCGTGTGCAATGACGCTGGTTCACATCTCCCGAATTTACCTTTACTAGGTCATTTAGGTTTAAAGATTTGTGTATAGAAAATATTTTTCTTTGCACAATATCCACGGCAAGTTGCAATTTATCTCTGTTGAGCAGTGCCCATACTAGGCAGTTTGTCCTAACCAGTGTGCTTACAAAGACATCCTTTGCCTAGCACAGTTGAACTGTAGACCAGTACTGAAAATATTTCAACTCTTCACCACTTTTATCCATCCCCTGCCTGACATGACTAAACATAAACATTTTCTAATACTTGAGAATGCGACCTACTCGCCACAGTTTAACGGTACATTTAGTCTCATTACAAAGACACATAATCTTGACACTTGGTACTCAACAGGCGCAATAGCTGACCTAACTGAGAGTCTGAGGGCCCTAGCGTGTGCCAACGAATTGAGCGGCATTATCCTGACAGTGTCCGCAGATTTCAGGCTGGCCAAATGGAACCTCCAGAACGGCAACCTGGTGTGGAGTAAAAAACTGCAAGGTTCTAGAAAAACTATCCATGAAATCGTCTCGGTCTACTTCGATCAGGCCATCTTACTCGCGCAGACGTCGCCAGTCAGTGATGGCTTTGATATATCGGTAAGTGCTTCAACGCAAATCGTGTACATTTTAAATAGACATGTGTGTTTTAAAACGAAATGTGTATTGTTCTCTCTTCCTATTTAATGTGGCTTACCAATTCTTCATTAAACATACAGGCCAAAGGAAATGTTGGGAGCCCTGCCACCCCCCGCCCCACTCCCCCCCCCCCCACCCCAAAAAAGTATGGAGAATATATATATATATATATATATATATATATATATATATATATATATATATATATATATATATATATATATCAGCTGGCCCTATTCACGTTTCCCGGCCCATCTACACACTTTCTCTGTCTGGTCTATGTCAGAGAGGTGTCACGTTGTAGTTTTCTTCTAAAAGTCTCTCATGGGACTTGGGCTCAGGCTGTGCGTAGAGGGGTTTAAGTTAGGGCCAGTTCTAGTTGTTCTGGGGTCGTTAAAAGCTGTGTCGCTGTGTAATATAGAACACGCGACATCCGCATTGATGTAATTCTAGGCAAGACTACGTGACACCCCTCTGACGTAGACCAGTCTGAGAAAGCACGAATGAAAGGTCAGCAGCCAGTGTGAAGATGGGCCGGAAAACGTGAGCAGGACCCTTAGTCTTAGTCGAGGTTTCACCATCACTGAAATCGGGTCACCCCATACTTGCTCCATTCCTTGTGCCATTGAAAATCAAACGAATTGTCTTTCACTGTCCCATTTGAAAAACTGGTGAACAAACAATTAGTCCGGACACACTCCAGAAATATGCGCACGCTCTAAATGCAGATGCCACTTGCTAGAGGCGCCAAAACCAACAGTCGCCACCAGAAATGCAGTTTGGCGTTGATGGAAGTACACGGTCACAATGAGATGGCTTTACACGAGTAGAATTATTACATAAGTTATTTCACCAACCCACACATAAACTAACTACCGGGCAATTTGAATAACACGACACAGTCGCTGCACAAATAAAAGGCATTCCACAGAAAAAAAAATCAGCTCACGGGGCTCCACCAAGCACTAACCTCAGCAGCTCATGCAGCGAAACCGCAAGCTACAGTCCATATGGGGAAACTGCATTAGCCCCAATTTTAAAACACCCTGCTGTCCCAGCTGAGATAAAAAGACAAATTATAAATACAATCTTTATACCGACATTGGGTTATCAATGTCAGACTTGGACATTAACAAAAGAACATGAGAGAAGACTAACCACCTGTGAAATGAGATGTTTGAGAATGGCTGCGAATAAAACCAGAAGAGATCGAGTGAGAAACGATGTGATTACAAGAACTATTGGAACCATACCCATCGTTAAATTTATTGAGAAGCAAAGAATGAAATGGTTTGGTCACCTAATGAGAATGGAACCAACGATGCCAGCATCAAGAGCATACAACATGAAAATCGAAACAACAAGAGGCAGGGGAAGACCAAGAAGAAGATGGATTGAAGGAGTCACGGACAACTTGAGACTTCATAACATCACGGCATATGAAGCGACTGAGCGCGCCCTGGCTCGGTTGCCGATCATCTGATAGACTGCGACGCCTAGCGGCACAAGCAGATTTTGACAAAAGAAGAAGAAGAAGCATTAGCAAAGCGCTGTCATAAGCAAAATAACTTCGAAGCGATACATTCTGCCATGCCTAATCCTCCACTTTGCACCGGAAATCCATATATATGTATGTATGTATGCATATATATATATATATATATATATATATATATATATATATATATATATATATATATATATATATATATATATACACACGAGAGTATATACCGTCTCCACAATGAAAGTTGGCTACAGCTGGGGAATATTACGAGTTGAGGCTTAGTCTGTTCCACTGTGCTCCTCGACTACTCTGGTCCGAAATCATGAGAACGGCGTTTTAATCCTACCGCCACGGAAATGAAACTCTAGTAATTGAGGATCATGAACTTGTTAGATTCATTCACCAACATGTCAGTTAGGAAGCTGTACAGGGTGAGTTACACATCTTATGGCAAAGTATAAGGCGAATTAGTGGTAGTACGTTGAGGACGTCTGTTCCATTCGGAGATACATGGAAGAAGGAGGAGGAAGTCGAGGAGGAGGAGGGGAATAATAATAATAATAATAATAATAATAATAATAAGAAGAAGAAGAAGAAGAAGAAGAAGAAGAAGAAGAAGAAGAAGAAGAAGAAGAAGAAGAAGAAGAAGAAGAAGAAGAAGAAGAAGAAGAAGAAGAAGAAGAAGAAGAAGAAGAAAAAGAAGAAGAAAAAAGAGACTGAGAAGAGAAGAAAAAAGAGAAGACTGTCATTTAAGTCAGCATTCTTATCATCACTATACAACACTTCTGCCGTTAAGCCTCGTGGGAAGAAACACGTTGCGATCCAGTACACACTGACTGGCACTGGCTATTGTCAGTGAAGGTGTAAAGTGTCTGTGATGTTGTCGATCCATTTTTTCGTGGCTGTCCTCTTGCTCTTGTAGCTGACATTCTGAGATGTAGGGCCTGTGATGGTATTTGATGTTGCCGCACGCTAACAAGATGTCCCAACCTCTTATCTTCTCGATGAATCTAGTACAAAGTGTTGTTCCCACAATCTGTCAGATAGTCTCATTATTCACTCAATGTCTAATGATCATTTCAATGTGGTCTCGATATTCTATAAGAGTGCCCGCTCTCCTTCTCCCCGACTTTCCTTTCCAGGCAAATATTTCACAATGCTTTCTCTTACCGGTTCAAGGAAGTCATTTCATAACAGGGGATTTTTATTTGTAACATTGTTTTAGTAATCAAATGTTTGGCTACAATACCACCACGATTACAGCAGCAATAGTAGTAGTAGCAGCAGCAGCAGCAGCAGCAGAAATAACGATAATTATAATTGCAACCATGGCGATAATTTTTCGTAGGTCATTTACACAAGAGAAGGCCAAAGCAAAATAATGACCCGCCACAATGTATTCAGTTACTGGATATCCTTGGACAGAAGCTATGTTACGCTGGAGTGCCAGGATTCTTCTCAGTTGCCAGGTAAGAGAGGAATTTTATGCAGAATTTCGTCAGTGTGCTAAATAACTTTGCCAATACATTACATAACCTTGTCAGTGCAGTACAACATTGTGTTAATGCAAAACAAAACAATCACTGTACTGAAAGCACTGCAGAACTGTGTCAATGCACTGCAGAACTGTTTTAATGCATTACTGAACTGCGTCAATGCACTACATAACTTTGTTAATGCACCACATAACTTTATATGACATATACTGGGAGCAAATATCAACAGTTAGACACAACATCATCGCCTCACCACATATAGAGATAAAAAGAGGAGTACGACAGGGATAAGTGCTATCCCTAAGTCTTTTTAACTTAAATACAGAAAACATTTTGAAACAAGCTGAGGAATAGCCTGAACTGAATTTTAGTGAAAGAACAATATACGATCTGGGATACGCAGATAACGCAGTGCTACTAGCAGAAAGCGAACTGGAGTTACAAGAACTAGCTGATAAAGTTAACAGGCGAAGTGCAGAGTATGGCTTAGACACATTTAAAAAACAAAAACTATAGTAATTAATAGGGCTGTACCGAATCCCATCCGGCTTTAACTAAAGATGACCGTGACCGAATAGTGATTTTCACTATTCGGCCGAATACGAATAGTGGGAACAACTATTCGGCCGAATACGAATAGTGTATCATCATCATCAGGCGCCTTGCGGACTGGCGTGAGCGATCATGCCACAATCTCCTGCAGCATGTATCAGTTCGTGAGCTGACACACCTCCATGCCATGCAACAAGACTGTCAAGAATCTTATCTCGTTGTCTTCCCCTATCCCTCCTTCCACAGATCTTTCCAGTGGTCACCAAATGTTCCATTTCCACTCTTCTCATAAAATGGCTGAAAAATGACGACTGTCTCCTTCTGATGTCTGTGATTAGTTGTCTTCGGGCTCCCGCCTCTTTCAAAACCATCGCTCGCTCGGCCGTTCGTTCGATGTAATTTAAACGCACCTTCATATTCTCGTTAGCAATATCTTCAAATTTGATTTGGGCGAAGATACCCTGAAAGAACGAAAAATGCATGATCTCTCTCTCTCTCTCCCTCCCTCTTTCTCTCTCTCTCTCTCTCTCTCTCTCTCTCACACACACACACACACACACACACACACACACACACACATTGGCATTTTATGCAGTTTGTACCACGCAACCGAGTAGCAGTTTCCCCCGCTACGACAGACTTAGTCAACAGCAACGATTGTGTTAATAAGAGATTTATTTCAGTCCATCACAGTGTTTGCAGAAACAGGAGTAAGGTAACCACTATTCGTATTCGGCCCGACCGCAACTATTCGGCCGAATACCGAATATTTATTAGGTCCACTATTCGGCCCCGAAGCGAATACAAGTCGATTATTCGGTACAGCCCTAGTAATTAACAATGGAAAAGAACGGCCAAAAGTGAAGATCGCAGTAAACGGAACAAGTAACAAGTTTTTTCTAACTAGGACACGTAGTAACAGGCGATGGAAAAAGTGAAACAGTAATTAAAAAAAAAAGAGAATAGGAATGACTAAAACTGTCTCCAATAAAATTCGCAAATTACATACAGAGAGACAAACAACACTCTAAAAATGAGAATCGTTAAATTTTATGGATACCCAATCCTGCTACGTGGTTTAGAAACTGACAATGAACAAAGCAACTAAAAAATCGAATTGAGTTTCCTGGAAATGTGGGTATACAGAAGAATATGTCATATTTCATGGAAACAAAAATAGTTCGATACAGAGGTTCTGAGGAGACTACACATGATAGATGCTGAAAGAAATAAAGAAGAGACAGCTGGGATACTTTTGCCACATTAAAAGACACAAAACGCTTTTGATGACCATACTGGAGGGAAAGGTCGAAGGCAAGAAAGCAAGAGGTGGGCAACGATACAAGTGATGGATGGGCAGCAGTCTGAAAGAGTGTACAACCAAGACAAGAGACAGGGCATGTTGGAGATCCACTGCAGTCAACCTTTAATGTGGAGATGGTATCTGACTGACTGACTGATTGATGACATAACTTTGTCAATGCTTACCTGACTGATTGATGACAAAACTTTGTCAATGCACTTCATTACTTCGTCAATGTATTAATACTTTGTGAATGCACTATATAACTTTGTCAAACACTACAGAATTGTGTCAATGCATTACATAACCGTCTAAATGCATAGTAGACCTGTTTAAATGCACCGTAGAACTTTTTCAATGCATTGTACCCATTACAGAAAGTAAACACGTTCATAGTCATGACAGAGTAGCACATGGAGAAGGGGAGAACAAGGAAGTAGAAGTCCACCTCGTCGAAAAAATATTTCTGATTTTTGGTATATCATGGACTGGTATTTCGGTTAGTTGCTGTATTCGCCTGTCTCATATGCAAGTGAATCATGGACTGTTTGCAAACTAATGAAAAAAAAAAAAAAAACATTTGTAAGTGGCATTAAAAGGGTTTTGTAGACGAATAAGAAATTGATGTATTTATCTCTTTGCCTTTATCTCTTGCTCTCTTTCCATAAATTGTACTTGTTACGAATTTATATAGTGAACTCAAAACTGATTGACGTTTAACCCAAACCAAGCGATAAACACCCTGTAACACGAAGTGCCACCATTCGGATGAGGATCACTTGGGGACAGGTCCCAGAAACCCTGTTCAGCCGTTATGTTATATTAGGGTCCCCGACCACAGCCAGGGTGGCTCTTTAAAAAACACACAAAACAAAATTGCTTTCCTTATTGGGACGGCGATAACTACTTCTCCTAGCATGAACTATTAAAAAAAAAACACTGCCCGTCTACGTCTAGTTGTTCTAATAAGTTTACGATTTTCACATGCCTGTAAGAAAACAGTAATTTCAAAATTTTGTATGTTTAATTTCCAAATGATATATTAGAACTAAATCGTGTCTTGTATTTAAATAGGAACCGTGCTATACTGGTGGGATCTGATAAATGCAAGAGAGCTGGTTTGTAAATATCAGCATTCACCACATTTTGACAAGGACAGAATGCATCAACTGACATCGTTCTCACCAAGCCTGCAGAGTTGTGTTTCCTTGGTCGTTCAAGCAGACGCAAGATTGAAACCTTGTAGCGACGCAATATCTAAAAGTCCAGATTGTAATTTGTATTCAGTGGGCGATTCAGATGATAGGCACCTACAAGGAAGGTCGGGTGAAGATTCTGATATTTTGAGAGCCAGCATTAAAAGCAACATAGATCTGAAACTAATTACACCTAACGCTGAAAGGAAGTGCATGCAAGTTACATCACAATCAGAAAGCAATGAGTTAAAGAATACGCCAGCCACAGTTATTTCAGTTGAGGAAACGCAATTTCCTATGACGGAGCATGGGTGCACAGGGGATTATTCAAACGAATCCGAGAACACAGAAAAGGCAGTGGTGCCCTCGGAGACAGCATGTTCAAGAAATGACTTGACGCGTGTATATTGGAGCCAAATACATGAATGTTTAGAGAGCTGTGCTTCTGGCAGTGACAAACAGCAACATGCAGGAACCAGTAGTGAAGAGACAAGACTGCAGCGTGCAGTAACCAGTAATGAAGAGACACGACAGCAACATGCAGTAACCAGTAATGAAGAGACAAGACTGAAATTTCCTGAAATAAACTATTCACGAGCTGGAAGTAAGGCATCCTCAGTTGCTAGCAAACACACAACAGATAACATTCAAGTTGGAAAACGCGGTGGTAAAAGGAACACTGAAACAAACGGAGTTAACAAGGACAAGACCAGCACGTCTGCAGTGTCTAGCCATTCAGAAGTCTGCCTGCCTGTACATGCTACATCCTTCTGTTTTGTTGGGGAACAAGAAATACTTGTTGGAACTCAGTCGGGACAGTTGTTACTGCTAGCAGTGCCTTCCTGCCAGCAAGTACTGGCTCTCGGTGAATCTGGTCCCAAATATGCTGAGGAAATTACACAGGAGTTTCTGACAGATGCGCCCAAACCTCACAAAGATGCCGTATCTGACGTCACAACGTCGCAGGACTTAAGCATCATCGTCAGTTCAGATCGTACTGTAGTGTGCCTGTGGAATGCAGGAGATAAGACCCTGGCAATGAAAATCCAACTCTACGATGACCAGAAGGTAAACTGTTTCTGTAATGAGCCAGTTGTATGCGTGTGTATGTGTGTTTTAGCAAAGAACTGTTATCGCAGCTAATACTTCTTTGTGTTATTCCACAATCCACATCACTCGCCAGAATGATAGATTTGGGAGTTAAAATCGGCATAGCAAAAAACGAGACACAGCAGAGAACTTGTTAATCAATACAGAACTGGTACTATCAGCCACCCGACGTTGGGATTCACACTGAGGGAAGGATATGAGCACCTATAGACATGTCCGGAGTGCAATGATAATAACCCAACTAACTAACTAACTAACTAATTCCATAATTCAAATCTGTAAAATCAGTGTTAACATTCAGCCCTCACCTATTTGTCTTACATTTAGTTATTACTCACTGCTTGCTATGAATGACTTAGTTTCATGTCTCACATAGAGAATAAACCCTATCTAGCCAACACACTGTCACTTTTGCAATTTTTTCATAACCGAAAATGTGTCAATATAAAGTGCTGGCGCGCGTTTCCTGGGTTGAATAGTCCAAATGCCTCACTAACAAGCATGTCGTAAGAGTCGACTAATTTGAGGTTTCCTTCGAAGTCAGATTGCATCTGACTGAGAGGCAAGGACCTAACAATATGAATAAATGTAAGTCAGATCTGTAAAACGGATGTGCATGCAAAATTCAAATACTGGAACAAGACTAAAGTCCAGAGAAGGATGAACAACCAGACTTTTCACCGGAGTTTACAGCCGGTGAATGTGAAGAAGAAGAAGAAGAAGAAGAAGAAGAAGAAGAAGAAGAAGAAGAAGAAGAAGAAGAAGAAGAAGAAGAAGAAGAAGAAGAAGAAGAAGAAGAAGAAGAAGAAGAAGAAGAAGAAGAAGAAGAAGAAGAAGAAGAAGAAGAAGAAGAAGAAGAGGAAGAGGAAGAAGAAGAGGAAGAAGAAGAAGATATGCCCGAAAAGACGATGATGTAAAAAAGGTCCTTTACCATTTTTACGAACAGATATTCGTGCCGTCGTGCTTTGTTCATATGAGTTGACTTTGAACCATTTCTGCTTCCCAGATATCTCAGATGGTTATTTCTAAAGATGCTGCAATAATTGCCATAGCAACGAATTCTCGCACGCTTTGCCTGTGGACACCAATAGAGAGACGACAGATTGCCAGTTACAAAACAACATTCGACATCACCGACCTGCAAATGACGTGTGATTGCCGCAAAGTTGTTGTTCGTGGTCTTGGCCCCAAAAAGAATCAGATTCTAGAGGTATTTGACATTGTAAATGTTGACGACATTTTGAACAACGTTGTCGGCAGACGGCAGCTGCAAGATCTCGAGAGGAGAGAGAATTTAGCCAGTGAAAGAAAGACGAACAAGCTGCAAATAGAGAATGGTCAATAGGCTTAAAACCTAGATGTCGTTAAACAGCCAGATTCAGTGTACATTCCCAGATCTGTAAAATGAACATGCAGGCAAATATCAAGTTCTGGAACAAGACCAAAGTCCAGAAATGGATGAACAACCAGAACTTTTCGCCAGAGTTTACAGCTGGAAGGAACTAAATGTTCTTTCCAGCCCCAAGGTACTTGGCGGTGATGATGATGTTCGAAATATTTTTAAGCTAACACGAACGGCATCTGTACTTTGTATCAACTTCATTTTCTCTCTCTCCTTCATGCTCATACATAAAAATATCCAGCCTGACACACACACACACACACACAACTTTTGACAACATGTAACATGAATAGCTTATTGCATACCTCCAAGGGTCGGCTCTGTGGCTAAGTCGATGCGAACGCTTCGCTTCGTAATGCCGGGATGCCAGGTTCGATCCCAGCTGCGGGCAATGCGCCTTGCATTGGTTTCGACAGTGGTATCAAGAAAGCCGAACGTCCAGAAAGCAATGGCAAACTACTGGATGTAAATTGCCTAGAGAAACCACACAACAGCCAGGGGCTGTTAGGGTTGGTTCTGCAACGTCCTGTAAAGGATACGCAACTAACAACAACAAAAAAATACCTCCAAGAAAATGGATGTGTGTGTGTGAATAAGCGGTACACATGCGTGTGAGTGTATATACAGTGCATTATTAATGGGTTTACCTTTAAATTTATACATGCTGTAGATGTGTCTAGGGAAGACAACAATGCCAGTTGGCAAAAACAAGATGATAATGATGCCACAGATAGTTTAAACCTGACATGAACCAAATCTAAATAAACATAACTATCACTTTGTTTGCAATTATGTATGTGTGTGTAATCTGCCTTCAAATTATTAATTTTAAATATTATTAAAATCAGAGGGACTAGTATAAACTCTAACCTGTTAGGTGGCCAGATTTTGGCGGTGAACAATTTTAAATGTTGAGGATGGCGGTCATCCATTATTTGCTGATATTGTCATAGTTATGGTTTCTTGAATTCATCCTATTTTATGTTCGTAATTTTCCTCAGGCATTGGTTTTCAATTGCCTGTAACTTTGGTTTCATGTCTTTAGTGGTTCTCTCATTTTCACTGGCAAATATAAACACTAAAAACACACACACACTCATTATAGATACAGTTTAAATATTTTATTCAGGCTTTTAGAAGCTGCCGATATCTTGCCAAGACATGTTATACATTCTTTCTTTGTGTGTCTCTTAAGAAAATGGTTCAGTTTCTTTAATTCTATTTGTCTCATGTTACAACTGCTTGATCTATTATTGGTATTTTTAATATATAATTGTCTTTTTTTAACCTATTCGTAGTACTCTACTACGTTATAAAAATGTGTACAAGCGGGACATGAATGATACATGTATTGAGGTGGACTCATAGGAACAAAATGCCATGGATCGTGTTGTGTTGAAAGGGCATATCGGGGAAGGGAATGAGACTGAAGGAAGAGATGATTGCAGAAAGGATAAAAGCTGCGCGTCTGAAAAGAAACAGATTAAACACAAATGTTGACAACAATGGTCCTGAAATCCCATGCTACCATAGTGGAAGACTTTTTTTGACACGGGTGGGTCTTGCTAGTCACACTCACCATCGCCAGGGGCTGTGAGTCTCATGCCTCCTCATAGCGCAATATAACACTATCTTCTGGAAAGATGGAAAGGTGCCAGTGATTGATTTGTAGCACATATTTTTTATGTAATTTTTCATAAATGTTTTTTTTTTCTTTGCATCTCCTTTCTGTGTTCTTCTTACTTCTGCCTTTCTAACCCCAATGGAGCATTCGCCCTCAACCAACACACGCCAGGTCGTTCTATCCTACGTATCGCATGCAGCTCTCCCCATGTCCTTTCTTATCTTTTTAACTTCTTTCTAGCTCCCTTATCCCTGTGTTTTTGGTCTTCTTTATTTCTATGCCCCTGTTGGTTTCAATGTAAAGACATTCTGGTTATATTGTTCTCAGGTTTTCTTAACATGTGTCCTATCCAATGCCAGCGTTTTTTCTTTACCTCTTGGTCTATCGGAATCTGTTAAGTTCTCTCCCAAAGATCTACATTAAGTGATTCTATCGTACCATTTAATTACCTCTATTCTGGGCAGGCACCTGTTAATGGGTGTTATGTAGTTTACTAGATATTGCCTTAGATGTTCTCCTTACTTAGCAGAACGATATCACTGGCAAAATCGAGATCTTCCAACTGTGTTTCCCACACGTCAATGCCAGTGTTTCCAACACACCATCTTTTCAATACCCAGTCAATAATTACACAAAATAACATTCATTTAAGTAAAGTAAATCAGGAGGTGAGCCAACTCAGGGAGAAAAGAATTAACGATACAAATGAAGATAGTCTGAGGAAGACATCTGTGGAATGATCAGAGCTAGTAAAGGAAAACAGCTTTAAGCAGAGTGGCAAGCTTCACTGGAAAGGTTACGGGTAGTGGGCATACTTGTATATTTTATCCAGGCTAAGCCAGCGTAGTAGGTAATGAACAGGCTGACACATTGGCTGGATCTGCACCACTTGGTGGGGAACTGATACATGTCAAGGCAGATGTAGTCAAGGCCCTTTGGGATAAAAGCAACGGAGTCAGAAGCGAAACAAGATTATTATGGCCTGGAGAGAATGAGGCACCTGGGTGTAACCAGAGGGTCTGGCCGGCTTACTGCACTCAGAGGAAAGGCAAGGCGGACATATAATTAGATTACGACTGGAACCATCAGTATTGAAACTCTGCACTGACTGCTGAAGATGAGGACGGAGTACACATGGGAATGCCTCGAGTGCTGTGATGTCAGTTCTTGACTCAACCCAACTCAAAGGATAACATGTTGGGATTAGGTTGAGTTAAATGTCTGAGGATGTGGTTATATAGATGAATGATGAGAACACCCTTGACCAATGATAAAAGAGCCTTGAAAAAAAAGTGACTCACAAAAAAAAAAACTGTTTGCCCACATCAGGAGGAGGCAATCTACATTGTTTGCTTATGTCAGAAAAAGGGGGGAAAAACTGGAGTACATCGTGACGGTAGGGAGAGCTGGAAGGGAAAAGAGGCAGGGGAGACTGAGAGAGAAGATACTGGGCAGTTAGGCAATATGCCAAAAGTGACTGAAAGCACACGAGACAGAAGGTTGCGATAGATGTGACTATCAACCCCACATGGTATAGACGATATAAGAAGGGGACCCACGCAAAAAAAAAAAAGATTGAAGAAGGATAGAGTGAGCTAACATAACAGAGGTTCTGGAGAGACAAAATTAAAAAAGAGTGTTGTTGGGGGAAAAACCAGCAAGAGCCAAATTAAAAGGCAGTGCACTCATAATAGCATCTGTGGCTTAGGTGTTTCAAACGCCCTTCATAATGCCAGGGTACCGGGTTCGCTCCCAGCCGTGGACAATTTGTCTGGCATTGGTTACGACAGTGACACCGGGAGCTGACCATTCAACGGCAATGGCAAACTACCGAACATAAAATTTGTCTAGAAAAGCCACAACAGCCAAAAAATGCTAGGGGTGGTTCTGCAACGTCCGGTAAAGGATACGCAACCCATAAAAATGATACTGGAGGGAATTGCTAAAGGCAGGAGAGCAAGAGACAGACAGTGGTACAAGAGATGGGCTAGCAGCATTTTGAGAGAGAGTAAAACCAGGACAGAGAAAATACTGAAGATCCATTACAACAAACCTCCTTTGTGGAAAAGGAGCCTGACTGAACTTAGTTATGTACAGCAACTGCCTAGGAATAAAGAGTACCTGCATCTGGTTAGTTAGATAGTTTTCAACAGATTATCCTCTCTGCACATCAGACAAGTCCATAAGCGCTCAGATCCCATCCTCAGCATATTCCTCAGTGGTGGGAACTGATAACACCAGTTCTGTGTTGGTTTACTATGCTTCTTTGCCTGCCTGTATATCGCTAATCTTTGGCCACATCTCTTTTGACCTGAAGTTTGTGTAATCTTTTGAGTGTTGCCGATTCAATGTCGTTTCCTGAATCATCTTCTCGTCCTGCCTCCTTGACAGCATTGAGAATGTCGGCCCTGCCATTCCTTTTTCTGTACCTACCATGGCTCTGCCAGCTAGCCAATCCGCTCGTTCATTCCCTCTTACCCCAGAGTGTCCTGACACAAAAATTTAATTCCTTTCAGACAAGATTTCCTCAGCGACTCCAACCAGTTCTTATACAACCAGTTTCTGTCTTCTTAAGCATGCTCATGAAATCACTTAGAAAGCATGGACAAATGTTGGGTCTCTAGCCACATCACTGCTTTTGTTGAGTACTTGTATTTGTTGAGGTGTAGTAAGAGCACTGGCCTAAAGACATGTATGTTCTTTTTTTAAGAGTGATCGGCCAAAAGAAAGAAGAAGAATTACTCAGTTAAAACATTTTAAAATCAACAAACATGTTCACATAATGGATAAATATTTTGTTTTAAAAATGTCCAAGTAATGTCTACTTAATGTTTAAGAACAGACAAAAATATTCACAAGATATATCAGAACATGTCTTATAAAAGTTACAAATATTCAGTTGATTTATAAATTCATGTTTTACAATAAATAAACAGGACTGTACATTTTCATATATAAAAACAGTACTTTAAAACAGTAGTTTATATGATCAATTGATTATTAACAGTTTTAAGATTTAACACTCTTCCCCCCCCCCCCCCCCCCCATCCCCTTTTTCCTCCAGGAAGACGCCAAACCGTCACTTCTCAGCTCCGTCAAATTCCTTTTGTCCCTTTTCCGACTTGCCTATACTGATCTGTTTACGCGATACATAGTTAATACTACTGACTGTTTTCGAACCTGCGCTTACATTTCGGAGGTCAGGATATGTATGTGTTAACTTCAAATAACATGGGAGGGGGGAGGGGGACGTCTGAGCCAAATAGTTTTTTAAGCTAATTTGATGTCAAATTTCCCCATAAGCCTCAGTGATAGAGGTCATGGGAGTAATGGTATGTGTTACCTGATACATATGTTTAAGGTCCCAGGGAATGTATTCCATTTAAAGTTTTACCCTGTTTGTGTTGACTTCATATATCGTTATTTACTTCATGAACAACAATAAAATGTAGTTAAATAAATGTTTATCAAATTTACTAGTGGTCTGTGTAAATATTTTTTCCAGGATGTTTTTGTTCTGAAATTATAACGGGGCGTGCCTCATTTTTTTTTACACTGCCCGCGGTGAGCGGGTTCAAATTCAGCATCTTCAGAAAAAAACCATGTGAGATATTTGGGAAGCAGCAATGGTTCAAAGTCAACACATACGAAAAAAGCAAGAAAGATACGAATATCAGTTTGTAAAAATGGCTCTTAGGGCGTATTTTCTTTTTCTTCTGTGCTGTAGGAATACAGAATAAGCCATTAATAGAATGTCTAAAGTTATGCTTTAGGTTCAGATGGAATAGTTTGATTAACAGATGGTTGTTACACATAATTCACAGATATGCCTAGAATCTTCCAGAAGACGTGGTAGTGCATGTGCTAGATATCTGATTTCTAGGGGGTGCTAGGTGCTAGGTGCTAGATGGAAGATGTATAACTGAGATAAGAAATAGAATTGGACAGGCAAAAACTGCATTTTATATAATGAAAAACATCTTGTGCAATATATCCTTGTCATTGAGAGTTAGAAAAAGAATTCTTGCTTGCTACATACATCCAGTTTTAACATATGGCTGTGAATCCTGGACAATCGGTAGGCAGGCCAAACAATTTCTGGAGGCCTCGGAGATGTGGTTTTACAGAAGAATGCTTAGAATACCTTGGACAGCCAAAAAGAGCAACCAAGAGGTTTTGAAAGAGGCGGGAGCCCGAAGACAACTTATCACAGTCATCAGAAGGAGACAGTCATCATTTTTCAGCCATGTTCTGAGAGGAGGGAAAATAGAACATGTTGTGACCACTGGAAAGATATGTGGAAGGAGAGATAGAGGAAGATGAGAGAAGATGATTGACAGTCTTGTTGCATGGCATGGAGGTGTGTCGGCACACGAACTGATACATGCTGCAGGAGATCGCAGATTAGGGGGAGGCATGATCGCCCACGGCAGTCGGCAAGGCACCTGTTGATGATGATGATAAGAGGTAAGGTGTCCGCCTCGAGTGCTAGAGGTTTCGGGTTCAAACCCTGGTAAGGGCTGGGATTTTGTTCTCGTGGACTTGGACTTCTAGTAATTCCCCTTGGTCTCTGGATAGTGAGATTGGGCACCTGTGTGCATTGTTGCGCACTAAAAAAATAACTTGGCAGTTGAAAATCGAAAAGATTAGCCTAACGGCGCTGCCCGGGCAAAATTTGGAGTTAATTTGGAGTAATTTTTACTTTAAAATATGTCTGTAACAGAATCTATCTATATCCAAATGGATGGTGCTTTTGCCTAATTTCACAATTGTCACTGAGGATACAATATGGCGGTGGGGTATAGAAGCTTAAACAGCATTACAAGGCCAGGTGCAGTGCTTTAACTTTGTCATATATGTGCCTGTATATCTAATTTGTTTTTCACATGACTTTTTATTTTTTTGTTAACTGACTATTTGAATTTTTACATGACTTTTTTATATGACTGTTCTGGCCCGGCTCTCTGTCGTTGTTGGTTAAACCTGACTTAGCGGTGACGAACTCCTAGTTCCCGGGGGTAGGCAGAAAAGCCACATTTCTTCCAGATTTACGGTACCTATCATGGAATCAAGGCCGAAGGGTTGCGATATCTATAGTACCGAGCCAAAAGGTTAACTACTCATGGTTTCTGGATATAAAAAAAAAAAAAATGACTGTTATGAATTTTAAATGACTGCTTTGATTTTTAGATGATTGCTGTGATTTTTAGCTGCACATTTTGTTTTCTATGGGCCCGTTTTTGATTTTCACATGACTATTTTTAGTTGTACATGACTATTTTCATTTGTACACACTGTTTTGATTTTTACACGACCATTATTGTTTTTTATATGCCCATGTTGCAGAATAAATATCTCTGTACCTCTGTGTGAACAGCAATAAGGCAAATGTCTTCTTAAAGAAATAAATAAACAATCCACACATTTTTTTTTAAAGTCAATGAGAAATACATAACCAACACTTAGTTGCAGACAGGAAACTTAGTTGCAGACAGGAGTTGCTTCATCGCAAGCAGCTGTCACTTTCAAGTTATACATCTAAGGGCTTCATGTTATCACTACCATCCTGTTGTGCCATTATACATCACACAGATCCCCGTGTGGGTTCCGGGGCCCTATTGTGGGGAAAACAAGAATAGACCGATTGGCTCTCCAACAATCATGTCCTGGGAGTTGACTAATTTAGGGTTTCCTTCAAAGTCGGAGGGCATCTGCCTGAGAGGTAAGGAACCAACAGTCTGTGCAAGTAAGTCAGAGGTGGAGTTTACAGCTGGTGAACACAAAGAAGAAGAAGAAGAAGACATCACACAGTGCTCACGGTCTAAGCCTTCATTCCATTCTATCCTATGCAATCATCATGATATCAAGGATGCAGTCCAGTCCAGCAGCTTTGGCTTCTCCCAGTTATGTTTATCTCATGGTTTCTCTTGGATGTCCTCACTTCTTCAATCCATTTGTTTCCCATTTATATGCCTGTTTGGCGATTCTCTATCCATTTTTCCTCATGATGTGCTCAAAATACTGCCATTTTGTTCATTCTATAAGTGTTGTTCAGACATGTATCATTTCTTTGCCTCTCTTGAATTCATCAACCTCATGTGGGTTCCTGGACTTCATAGTGGGGAAAACAGAAATAGACCCACTGCCTCCCAACAGGCATATCGTAGGAGTTGACTAATTGGGGGCTTCCTCCAAAGTCGCAGTGCATCTGCTCGAGTGACAAGGAACAACCAGCTGCAGACAAATAAGCCAGTAAATGGTTGTACATGCAAAACTCAGGCCCTGGCATAAAGCCAAAGTCTAAAGGAAACAAAAAACCAGGACATTCCACCTCAGCTTACAGCTGGTAAACAAATGAGAAGAGGAAGAAGGATTCATCCAGTCTAATGCTAATTAATTTCCTGAGGTATTTGTCTAATATAGTTCATAAATAATGATATCTGACAGACTAAGTATTATTAACAATAATGGTGATTATTATATGAATTGGATGAGACACATCATCCTCTGCTCTGTCCTGTTGTGCCACTATATGTCCCATGAGGCTCACAGTCTAGATCTTCATTCCACTCTATCATGTGCAATCCCCCAGTGCTTTTGGCCTTTCTCCACAATTTTCTGTTCAAGGTTTCTCCGGAATGCTCTGCAATCCATTTTTCTCCCAATGCAATGCTTGTTTGGTGATTCTCTACCAATTTAAGAACTGGATGAGGCATGAGGAAGTAAGAAAAATATACTTTAGTGAGAGGTAACTATTCAACATACTGTGAGTGTTATGGCCCCAAAAGAATTCACTGGTAGGGGGGAAAAAAATCAAATTTTTCCAATCTAGAGAATAAAGACTGTCCTTGTTAAATAATCTCAAATGACTTCTGATATTACTCTGGCCATGTAGCAGTGAAAGAGGCTTGTGGAATACTGAGAGTTAGCTACTATTCACTTTCTTTCCTCTCTCAACACATCCCGTTTCAACAAATTATTACATATGCAGTTCAATAAAGAGATAATAGCTCCCAATCCATTACTATCATCACAAGTTGGCACATTGCTGATCTTCAATACTGTTGTTTGCCATCTTTTCTCAAAGTTTCGCAAATCTCGTTGACTAACCTCACTGTGGGCAAACTGGTCAAATCTAACCAAAGTTAAGTACAGTTGTTTGTTTAAAACCATATCATCTCTATATCAACAAACACAAAGTTTAGTTAGCAACAAAAACTAAACATAAATCTAAATTTTTTAAATATTTGTAAAACATATGTTCAAGGCTGCATCATGACAGACATTATGAAAATGGCATTGGCTCCCTCCTAAACCTTGCCTAAAATTGGTACCAAGAAATGTCCTGCGAAGTAAAGGTGGTCAGGGTGATGTTAACCCCATTACAGATCAAGTGGTCTATAAAAATAGGAGCTGTGCACCATATTCCGATGTGCCTAAGGCACAAAAAGGGTCCAGTAGTCCTTATTATTTGTAACAGAAAGAAAGTTCATTCACTGGCACCTTTCAGTCTTTCTAGATGATAGTGTTATATTGTGCTATGAGGACACATGGACTCCCAGCCCATGGTAATGGCGAGTATAACTAGCAAGACCAGCCCGCGTTAAGAAAAGTCTTCCACAGTTACTGAATGGGATTTCAGGACTTCTGTTGCCAACATTTGTGTTTAGTATGTTTCTTCTCAGATACAGAAACTAAGTAAAAAAGCTATTTCCATGCTCTGAATCATCCTGGTCAGAAGAGGCTAGTCCCACAATTTTTAGACCACCTGGCTCTCGAGGAGTGGTGAGGTTGTTATCATGCCAGTCACCTTGATCATTTTCATATTTTTTGGGGCTTCCTCTCTGCCCCAAAAGTCCTTTCTTGTTTCAGAGAAGGAAAAGTCTGAATCTGCAACTCTGGACCTAGCAGGCTGATGTTGCACATGGTTCAACCTATGGATTGTGTTATTAAGGATCTCAGAGAAACACACACACACATATATACACACACACACAGAGAGAGAGAGAGAGAGAGAGAGAGAGAGAGAGAGAGAGAGAGAGAGAGAGAGAGAGAGAGAGCGAGAGAGAGGTTGACTAAATAACTACATCCACATCACTGCTAAAATAGCAATGGAAGAATTCGGAATAAATATTGGAAGAGGCAGACAAGACAAATGAGAGGTTTTAACAACATGCACAGAAATGCCAATGTTAGCTGCAGGATGATGATATGTGAGAGGGCCATCAGGAAAAGAATGAGCCAACAATATAAAACAATAAACCTTTTACATAAAACACATTAATGCCTCAGTCGGCTCCTTGAAACCTCCCAATGTGCTTCCAGCCTATCTTCCATTATGATAAAAAACAAGTTTTTTATTTTCAGGATTGGGATTCTGGGTCAGATTTTCTGACACAGTAGTTTTTTGGAATCCCCAGATCCTCTTCTAGTTATCTCACCATAATTCTGTAATCTTTTTTAACTGCAGCTGGTATTCATTCAACATTTTCCTATTTTCTACTTCCTGCAGGCTGTATAGAAATGGGATCACTTCAAAAGATTTTCAACCATCTTTAAAGCATTTTTACTATACTTTTATTTGTGATGCACTCATTGCTTCATCCCAAAAAACCTGATGAACCATCCAAATAGTCTCTGCAGAGTAATGTTGACACTCAGCACAAAATGTCATGCAAATTCCCTGCTCTGCTTGATCAGATTTGAATACGTTGATGGCATATTGTACAGGTGCTCACTAAATGACGTACTGGTGCTCACTAAATGATATTGCACTGACTGATACAGAGACATCATCGCTGCTCTCATATACACATGACAGACACTCTATCTGGCTGCCAAGTTATAAAAATACAGTGCAAACTGTTCTTTTTTCATAATAACTAGGGCTTGAATTTTTTTTCTTTTGACAGCCCTAGTATATGTTGACAGGGAAGCATAAGCTCCTATGGACATGTCCAGAGTGCCGTGAAGATAACCCAAACCGAAACTTATAACTCACTATTCAGGTTGGTGTACCAGCCACCACGCGACCACTGCTCTCAACAAAATTAATAAGGCAGCAGAATCTCTCCTAAAAATCTTTCTTAACAATGAAGGATACTTTGTACCAATGACAGTTGTTGCTAGTGTGTCTCCTGGTTCTGTCAGCCTGGCAATCAAATTAGGGAGCTCCTCCCAACTACTTTTATCAACGAATGAAAACAAATAAAGAATTCCATCCAGTTCACTTTTACACGCCTGCAAAAATGAATATGCTGATATTAGAAACAATGTCAGAAACAAAAGTTGTGAGTTATGTTCCTTGATGTAACCCACTATCCTACCTCTCTAGCATACTTCCTGTCCAGTATCTATTTCCTGCATTAGGAGAAGGTTAGTTGCGTATCCTTTACAGGACGTTGCAGAACCAACCCTAACAGTCTCTAGCTGTTGTGTGGTTTCTCTAGGCAAATTTACGTCCAGTAGTTTGGCATTAAGAGAAGACTTCAAATAAAAACCTTAAAAGTGTAAAAAAAATTACAATAACCATGCCATTGTTTGTCAATACTGTTGTAAGATATGTCCCATCACAGTGCAGACGAACATGGTGCTGACATAATGACAGTTTTATGATATGCACTCATATACTTTTACTATGCATCAAAGAGAAGCAGTGTTTAAAAATTTTTTTTATTTAATCAGTGAAGGGGTTCTCACATTGAAGAACATTGTGACAACTGGAAAGATAAGTGGAAAGAGGGGTAGAGGCAGACCAAAAGAGATGATGCTGGATGGGCTGAAACGATAGCATGGAGGGATATCATCAAGAAAGCTGTTCCAGGCAACCAGGTATTGTGATCTGTGGAGACGCATGAGTGCCTACTCCAGTGGGCAGGGCACATGATGATGATGATGAAGGAGTGAATCCTATAGAAATTTTTTCAGCAAATGAAGGTCGAGAATGGTGATGCATATCTGTTAGTCCAGCAGGTGTATATCTGCTATTTTGTCTCTCCTACTAATTTCACTGTTGTTTTAACTCATTCAGTGGTCCACAGAGTTTATTTTCCACTGTTGTTCGTTTTTGGCTAAAAGGTTTGCCTTAAATGTGTGTTTAAAATTCTATTACCATATTTTTCAGTGTATAAGGCACACTTTTTTGTTCTCAAAATTAGGCTGCATCTTACACAACAAAGGTAAGTATACATATGCTTTTATTTTTCACAATTACCCACACTCTAGTTTTTCCTTTCCAAGATCATGGAATGCTCTGCCTTCAAGTGATAATGATTCAACCTATTAATCAGTCATAGGGAGAACAGGATCACCTTGGAAGTGCATGGCTGGGGAACCCCCTAAATGTTTTGTAGGTAGCAGTTTTTCATTTCATCATTCCAGAGCTGTCTCACATGAACACCAGAGGGAAAGAGAAAACAGGGGCCCACAAAAACAACATGGAGACGAACGATGGAAAGTGACCTGAGTGCGGCATCTTTGACATGGAAAACTGCACTGAAGATTGCACAGGACAGGAAAGCATGGAAAGTCCTCTCTGAAGCCTTATGTGCCACTAGGCATAACGAGAACTGATGATGATGATTCCAGAGCTGTGTTTGCATCAGCTCTTGTTTTTACTGGTGCCGTGCCTGAATATGAATGAGAGAGAGAGAGAGATGGCGAGAGAGAGATATGGCGAGAGAGAGGGAGAGAGAGAGGGGGGGGGGGAGAGAGAGACAGAGAGAGAGAGAGATTGAGAGAGAGGGGAAAGAGAAAGAGAGAGAGAGAGAGATGGTGAGAGAGAGAGACAGAGGGGGAGAGAGAGACATAGAGATGGAGACAGACAGAGGTGGAGAGACAGAGTGAGAGAGAGATAGAGAGACAGAGGGAGAGAGAGACAGAGGGAGGTAGAGAGAGAGAGAGAGAGAGAGAGAGAGAGAGAGAGAGAGAGAGAGAGAGAGAGGTAAGAAAGAGGCAAAGGGAAAGAGAAAGGGAGACAGAGGGGAAGTGAAAGATAAGAGAGAAAGATACAGAGAGAAAGAAAGAGAGAGAGAGAGAGAGAGAGAAAGATACAGAGAGAAAGAAAGAGAGAGAGAGAGAGAGAGAGAGAGAGAGAAAGATACAGAGAGAAAGAAAGAGAGAGAGAGAGAGAGAGAAATTCTTAACCTGAGTGGGTCTTGCAAGTCACACTTGCTGCTGCTACGGGTCTGTGATTTACATGCCTCTCTATAGCATAACATAACATTACCATCAAGAAGGACATAAAGGTGCCAACTAGATAACACATTTCATCTATTATCCTGCCTAACAACCCGCTACGCATTTTGACCATTTCAAAACAAGAATGTTACCCAGTTCGCAAATATATAAGTTTTTCAATTTATTTATGAACATTTTAATTATGTGTGTGTGTGCATGCATGCATGCATGTGTGTGTGTGGAAAAGGAGAAGGGGGGGGGGGGAATAAAGCTATGAAATACATTCCATTTCCACAGCATAAAATATATGGATCAGGTGACTCACTAAGGTTACAGGAAAATTTGACAGAAACTTGGCTTTAAAAAGAACATTTAGTTTAAAGAAGCCCCCCCCCCCCCCCCCCCCCCCCCCCCCCCCAACCAATGCTATTTTTAGTTAATATATTCACATCCTGACCTCATAAAAGTTTGCACAGGTGTGAACTCAGCCAATACCATTAACTGTACGCCTAATAAACAGGTCGCTACAGACAAGTCAGAAAAGTGACATTTACAGGAAATTGGCCCCAAACGGAAGTGTCAGTTTTGCAGCCTCTCCAGGTGACAGGCTTAACATCAGCCTCCTGTGGAGCCTTTGGTATAATGATTCCTCTATTCTGTTGTATCCTAAGCAATCTTTTCAATATCATGAAAATCGAGTCCAGTAACTGATCTCTCTTTTGAATGTTTTGCCTTTCTAATCCATTTGTTCCCATTTCAGTGCCTTTTTGGTGATTCTCCATCTGCTCCTCCTTAGGATGTGCCTCATTTATTTCTATCTCCCCATGTGGGTTCCAGGGGCCCCAGTGTGGGGGGAAAACAAGAATAGACTGACTGCCTCCCCACAACAAGCAGGTTGTAAGAGTAGACTAAATAGGAGGCTTCATTCAAAGTAGGAGTGCAAGGAACCAAAAGTCTGCATACATATAAGTCAGATGTGTAAAATGGATGTGCAAGCAACACGCAGATTCAGGAAAAGTACTAAAGTCCGGAGATGGACAAAAATCCAGAAGTTTCCATCAGTGTACAGCTGGTAAACATGAAGAAGGAGAGTTATTTTCATCTTCTTTGTCTTATAAACTAACTAATCTTACATGTATAATACTTACTTACTTACTTAGTCACTCCTCTTCTACCCTGGGGTGTAGAGGTTTACCAGAGATCGCAAGACGTCTCTTTCAGCAGTTTTATTTCTGGCTTTGTTCCATTCCAGTCCTCTGTCAGTCAGGGACTGTCGCATGTTGTCTTCCCACCAGACACTGGGTTGCCCTGGAGGTCTGGATCCCTGGTCCTTAGCCTCCCATGGTGGTCGATTTTCTCCCATTCTGCATACATGTCCAAACCATCGTAATTGTGACTGATCCACTAGGATTTGTAAGGACTGGGTATCAAGATCTCAACATATTGTCTGATTGCGGACTTTGTCCCTTCTTTTCACTTGGACCACCCTTCTCAAATATCTAATTTCTGAGGCCTGAAGCTGGCTTCTGTGAGCTGTTGTCATTGCTCATGACTCACACCCGTAGGTCAGGACTGGTCCTCTTGCCAACTTCTATTTTGCTAAGAAACCTTTGGTTTATGGCCTGGAAGAGTCTTCCCAGCAGCTGCTTTTCATGTAGCCAGCTCGGTCTTAACACCACGTATAATATAAAGCATTTATTTAGTCTCTTATTCATCTGAATAAGTAGATGACACACACACACAAAGAAAACAACATAAGCATTCATGAAGAAACTCACTGGAAAAATGTGGTCAAATTTTTTGCTGGAAACTTCTCCAGTGTCCCAGAAGGTCAAATTCATCAGTACTTTCTTGTTTAAGTGAGCGATCTTAACCGGCCAATAAATCTTTGTCGTCTGGATGCCTTACAGGTTCAAATAATGAAAGATGATTACAATTATGAATTATTTCTGCTTAACATGTTGCTTCTTATGAGATGTATTTTTTTGCTTCAAATTTAAAATTAATAACAAAATAACGTTACCTCCTTGAGTACCAGAAGGTTTTACCGCAGATTCCCACAGCATAAATAACTAACAGAAAAAAACTACCAGTGTACTGTTTTTAAAGTCGCTATTAAATACTAGGGATGCCAGATTTCTTAAAATACTGATACCAACTATGAAAAGGACTAGAATATATTACATGCTGAGTGGGATTCACAGCAGTGCTAATTATGCATCGCACATTGATTGGGACCGAAGGAGTTAATACATTACAATTTCATAATTTGTTCATTTTATTTTCTATTCTTCCATGATATTCTTTGCATTATTCTTGTAAACCACATTGCTGTTGCAAGTTAATGTTTTTCAGCTTTCAATATTACATCAATTGTAATAAAACATGGCAATTATGGTAGGTTGTCAAGCTATTTAATAGTAGTTTTATCTAATCCATGACCAGCAGACGGTTGACTTGTACTAAAGCATGCAACATGAATCTCTGTTTCATTTGTTCAAGAACAAAAAGTAAAGGACTCCAGCTGATGAGGAAGTAAGATTCCGATATGTGCAGGAAATCAGAATCTCAGGTCTGCAGATAGCTAGCTCCCTGTGGTAACCTAAAGGATGCAGCCCATAATGGGGAGAAGATTCGATATATGCATTTGAGCTTGGGCAGTTATGTGTGGGATGTGATGATTCCTTGGGTAAACCCAGTACCAGAGTGCCATGTTTTTATGGAAGCCTCACTGGATATCAAGGAATGCCCATCCTCTGCCCCTAGAGGGTCAACTAAGCTTCACACGGCTGCCCAGGATGGGAACTCTTGGGATGACAGCACCTGTGGATCAGGGGATGATAAGATTTTCAGACATATGAGCTCACACATGTGCTACAAAATTAACCAGGAAGGCTAACCTGAATAATAAATGTGAAAACCACAAAAATGTCCTATGTGAAAACCCCACAAAATGTCTGTCAGTATCCTATAAGAAAACCACACATAATATCAATCGCTGCCGTATGTGAAAACCACACAAAATGTCAATCCCTGTCCTATGTGAAAAGTTTAACAGACAGCAGTCCCAGTAAAAACTAAACCAGAATGGTTAGAATGGTGCTCTGATCTTAAATCATCATAATTGAACACGGGCTAGTTGCAAAACCTCCAGATAATTCCACTATATAGTTATGTGTAACAGGCTCTTTTCTTTAATTTCAGTTAGGTGGCATTGTCATATCTAGGCATGCTTGCTTAATAAATATTTGTCGTCATTAACACTCTCCTCTTTTCCCCAGTATTTTGCCTTCTAGTACTCTCTTTGTTATAGTTTCATGAACTCCCTCAGACCTAAGTATTTACTGGAATAAGCTCAACTTCTTTAAATATAAGAGGTTGTAGTAACTGGGACTGAAAGAGTTAAATGTGACCATGCCATAAATCCAGCAACTTTTGTCATCATCATCCTCCACTTTTGTTGTCAGACATCATGCAGAGCAGTCTCTCCCATTTGGTGGACCACGGAACAAATGTAGGCGTCCGTGATATGATACACACACACAGAAAAAAAACACCTTAATTTGAGAACACAATTTTTGTTGTTGCTATTTTAAGATTTATGTTATAATGAGTTCTTCAGTGTTACTATTACAAAGTATGGTGTCTGTGGCAGACCGTAAAAGACAGGAGGGGTCTGCAGGTCACAGCTAATCGGGAACCACTGGTGCCTAAGAAAAGGTGCTGGTCCAGCACCTGACGGCTGACATTGGCTATTGTCATTCCATGTAAATGTATAATGTAGTAAATCAGTCTTCTTCTCAGATGCACTCTTGCTCTCAAATAAGATCATTGTTGGTGTAGTGCCTGTGTTGTGGATGCATTCTAACAAGATGATCGAACTATTTGATTTTATTAACCTCAGTGAGTGAATCTTTTACAAAGTGCTGTTTCCATGGTCTGTCCGGTAGTATTATTTCTTTGTCATTAAATGTATTGCCCGTGTTTGTATATGTCATGGATGTATTCTAACAAGATGTCCAAACTGTTTGATTTTTCAAGTCTCAATGAATATTTTACAAGGTGTCCCACAGACTTAGAATTCTTAGCACACCGTGAACTAAGAAGAAGAAAAATGTCAACCTCCTGCATGACCTGAACATCAAGGAGAATTGGCTCATAAACAGCATCCTCTCCCAGAAGCTGATGTATTTTGGTCATGATCAAAGCCGTGGTGATCTGGACAGAACGGTGATGACTGTCAAGGGGGCAGTTACTGAAAAACAAGGCAAAGGCAGATCTCCGCAAAAGTTGGATACAGGACACTAAAGATGCACTGGCTATGAAAGCACACAGAGCTGGAGAACTGGCAAGAGGAAGAAAGACTTTCAGGTGTGCCGTAATGAGAGCAACATTCAGTAAAGAACATGCTGACTAATTGATTGTCCCGCAGTCTGTCTGATAATATTTCTTAAGTCAGTCTCGGATAAAAGAAGCTAATGGAAGTAGATCTCTATATACAACAGTAAGAAAGAGACAAACACAGTTCTTTGGTCACATAATGAAAAGAGAGACATTGGAGAACATCGTGAGGACTGGAAAGATCAGTGGAAAAGGGGGTAGAGGCAGACCAAGAGAGATGATGCTGGTGGGGCTGAAACGATGACATGGAGGGATATCATCAAGAGAGCTGTTTCAGGCAACCAGGGATCGTGATCTGTGGAGATGCATGAGCGCCTACGCCATTTTTCAGGGCACATGATGATGAGTCTCTGATAATTAAGTAGGTGGCTTTCATCAGGCAACTCCTCTCACAGGTGTTAATTTTTATTTTACACAGGAGATCTTTTGATAACGTCCACATCTGGCACTGGTAGTAAAGTTTTTGTATATAAAGTAAAGGGCCCATTTCACACAGCGTTTGACCTATATTTTTATAGATTAACCAGAATTTGGTGGGCGTTGTTGGCCAACATACGCAGATAGCCTTTACTTCTTAAAACATTACCTGCTACCCATTTTAGGCTGGGCTGACTGTTAGGTCACCAGGTCAGCATCTAGCAGGTCACTAGGCCAGCAACTAGCAACTGAGTTGTCAGGCTCCCTTGGTATAAATATGCTATTTATAATCTGTTTCTTGGTGGTCTTACTTACCTTTGCATGTCTCAATAATGATGTCAGCTGCTATACAGGCAGTACCTTGTTCCTTCTAGGAAACTCTCCTACTTCTTCTTCGTGTTTACCAGCTATAAACTCCAGTGAAAAGTTCTGGTTGTTCGTCCACTTCTGGACTGCAGTCCTGTTCCAGAACCTGTGCATCCGTTTTACAGATCCGACTCATTTGTATGCAGACTGCTGGTTCCTTGCCTCTCAGGCAGATGTACTCCAACTTCGAAGGAGGCGCCCAATTAGTCGACTCTTACTTTATTCTTTTATGTAGGCAGTGGGTCTATTCTTGTTTTCCCTATAACAGGACCCCGGAACCCACACTGGGACTTCTAGGAAACGTGGTGCCGATAATCATTACAAAGTATCTAAAAAAGGTGCCAGTACTCACCACAAAGTGTCTATTACAGTAGCACTGAAAACAAAATCTTGCTTTAAAAAGGAAAAAAAAAGGTGCTAGTACTGCATACTGTTGCGAAATGCCAAAAAAAAAAAAAAGCCCTGTACATAAGTAATCTTATTTCTATTTCCCTTTTGTATTTATTACTTTTCTCCTTCTTCTTCGCGTTCACTATGGACACCATGAGACGGTCTAGGGACTTCCCTACCAAATCTCAAAGCTGGCATGATGTGGTAAAATAATAGAAAAAAAAAACGAATTTTCTCCAAATGATGTCAATATTCTTTGAAACTAACAGTCAGATAGATTGGGTGGTTCTGTAGCACCTGGTGGTGAACTGATGCATGACAAACTAGATGTTGTAAGGATCCTTCGAGAGCGAGTGAACAGTGCAGAGGCACAAACAGATTATTCTGGTCTGAGGAGAGTGGTGCTGCGAAGAGAGACCACTAGATTTGACCACCGTTCAACACTCAGGAGAAGGATGAGATGGATACAGGTACTATCAGAATTTGAGCTCTGTGCTTGCTGCCGAAGAAGGGGATGGAGCGCTTATTGGAATGTCCCAAGTGCTTTGATGTTGAATTGTAATTCAACATTCAACCTGAAATGAAACAAATCAGGTGCAACAAGAGATATTACCTGCAGTTTCACTGTGCACATCAGGAACTGTACGACCCGACAGATGGGCAACAGTGCTTGTCTTGCCAACAGCCCCTTTGCCCACCACTATTAATTTATAATGGACATCTTCAAGATGAGTGCTAGCAGGCAAAATGGGTCGCTCCAACAAACCTGTGTTGACAAAGTTAATGCTGATTATAATCTTGGGTAGAGACATGAATTCATAACGTCACTACTTGTCATGTGGTCAGTTTTGCACAAAGTAAAACTTTCAACTGTGATAAAAATCTGGTAATGTGAAAATTACACACAAAAGGGTTAAAAACAGACTGTGAAAATAATATCTACATTACTGAAGAGTCTCTTTAAAACAATCATCATCATGTAGCAGGTCCTTTGCAAAACATCGCTCTCATCACAGTCTGCCTGAAAGAAACTCAGTCTCTCGCCAGCTCTCCCGCCTCATGTATTTTCATACTCAAGGAGTCACTTATATCCCATGCCCATTTTCGTGTTGGTCGGCCCTGCCTCTCCTTCTGCATTTAATTTTTACAATCTGTTTCCATAATAAGTTTCTTGAAATAGTAATGTGGTAGTTTCTTTAAAACAATATATTTCCTAAATATTCATTGGGTATCATCATCATGATCATCATAAACCACTTCCGCCGTTAAGCGTTGTGGGGAGGAATAATTTGCGATTCAGTGCACGTTAGTTGCCACTGGCTATCAACCAACTTAATTTCATCAACTATATAAATTTTATAAACCTGAAATGAACATCTTCTTCAGCATTCCAGGTACTAAAGGTTCATTGCTGAGGATATTATCTGCCTACATTCATCTGCATGCAGGTATGTATGTAAGTATGTATGTATGTATGTATGTATGTATGTATGTATGTATGTATGTATGTATGTATGTATGTATGTATGTATGTATGTATGTATGTATGTATGTATGTATGTATGTATGTATGTATGTATGTATGTATGTATGTATGTATGTATGTATGTATGTATGTATGTATGTATGTATGTATGTATGTATGTATGTATGTATGTATGTATGTATGTATGTATGTATGTATGTATGTATGTATGTATGTATGTATGTATGTATGTATGTATGTATGTATGTATGTATGTATGTATGTATGTATGTATGTATGTATGTATGTATGTATGTATGTATGTATGTATGTATGTATGTATGTATGTATGTATGTATGTATGTATGTATGTATGTATGTATGTATGTATGTAAGTATGTATGTATGTTTGTTTGTATGTTTGTATGTTTGTATGTATGTATGTATGTATGTATGTATGTATGTATGTATGTATGTATGTATGTATGTATGTATGTATGTATGTATGTATGTATGTATGTATGTATGTATGTATGAATGAATGTATGTAAGTGTGTGTGTGTATATGTATGTGTGCATGAGGTGTGCGTGTGTGCATGCATGTGTGAGTGTTTGTGTGTCTATGAGTGTGTGTATGTATGCATGAATGTATATATATATATATATATATATATATATATATATATATATATATATATATATATATATATATATATATATATATATATATATATATATATATATATATGCATGTATGTGAGTGTGTATGTATGTGCATGTGTATGCATGTATGTGGATGTATTTATGCAGGTGTGTAAGTAAGTAAGTGAGTGAGTGAATGGATGGGCATGTGAATGTTGGTGTGTGTGGGTGTTTGCACGCGTTAGTGCGCCCATTCATTTTAACACCCATGCTTTTTTTTTGTATTCATAACATGCATATTATTATATGATCATAACATGCTTTATTGATAAAATACAAATGATGTGTGAAAGGTGGGTGTTTGGAAGGGCCAAATGTAAGACGGGCATGCGTGCCCATTTTGTCACCCTTCAAAAATAAAGTTTGTTCATTCGTTCGTCCTGTGTCTGGCCTTCTCTTTCCAGCTGATTACTTTAGGTGTCGGTAGATGTGTCTGTATATTATCTCTGCATCGTCCTCTTGGTCTTGGTCTACTGCCATTCAACTCTTTTTCTAAGCAGTTTTTGTCTCTCTGTTGCCCAGCCACTGCAGTTTATTGGCCATTATCTTGACAGTAATTATTGTTGATTTAAAAGATTATGAATTTCATTGTTGCTTCTCACTTTCCATTCTCGACTGTTTGCACTCTTGACAGCTCAGAATATTTGCCATAAAATTCTATTCCCAAATGTTTACAAGGTTTAGTCTCCTTCAGTTTTATTACCTATGTGAAATGTACTGTCTCTGCACTAACAACACAAGAAAAGACAGTTACGAAAACCAGCATTAGAGAAAGTCGGATTAAGACCATGTCTGGATTATATTAACAGACAAAGAATGAAATGGTTCAGTCATCTAGTGAGAATGCAGCCAGACCAAACTGCATATGAGACTTCTTACAGCAGAATATATGGGAGAAAGGCGAGAGGAAGACCAAGAAAGGGATGGACAAATAGTGCAGCAGAAACCTGCAAAAAGATGAACAAATCCATCACTCAAGCCACCCGAGAAGCGCAAGATAAAGATAGAAAACCCCGACACTGGGCTACAATCTGGTATAAGTGAGACGACAAAAGTAGAAGAAGTAGTTTTATTCCACGTGTACTTGTTGAGAGTTAAGTGATGAGCTAAACACTGACATCACATTACTTGGGACGTTCCCACAAGCACTCCATCCTTATATTCAGCAGCAAGTGAAGAGTTCCAATTCCGATGATTATGTTAAGGACCTGCTGATTGACAATACTGGTTTCTGAACTTGAAGAGGACGAAGAGAGCTCAGAAATAGTCCTTATAGTTAGATTATGTTATGTTATCACAACCAATGATCACTGCACACTGGATATTCCCAAACATGCTCAGTCTGATACAGCAGCCACTCCAAGGTACTTATACTGATTGTTCCCATGAGTGTCTCCTAACTTGGCTTTGAAGATGACACAGACATGCTTCACCAGGCATTACTCCCAGTCCCTATGGTTGTAAGGTTGAGAAACAAATCTCTATACCAACTTCACTATGATAGATGCATGCCCCTTTTTAGGCTTGAGATAACATAGTCATTTTGTACAAATGTGTGCTGTCGCCCCAGTCAAAGTCGGCAGCAATGCTTCCCTCCACTGAAAGTGAATGCATCATACATAATTCTTTTGAGACCAGAAGATTTAGAAGCAGATTTTCTGAGAGAAAGAATTAGAGAAAGAGAGACAGAGAGAGAGAGAGAGAGAGACATACAGAGAGAGAGAGAGAGAGAGAGAGATAGAGAGAGAAAGAGAGAGAGAGAGCAATAATCACTATAAAAATAATCAGCAAACTACTTTTGAAAAGACTTAATATACAGTGGAAGCGTTGCTTTCTGACATGGGGTGTCTGGGATTCACTGTGGCATGTGATTAAAAAAAATGGTGTTGGTACTTAGTGCAAAGTGTCTGAAAAAAAAAATACCAGTATCCACCACACAGTATCTATTACAGTAGTGGTGAAAAAAAAATGCGAAACAAAGGTGCCGGTACCGCATACCTTGCATACTGCACACAAAATAAATAGCCCTGCTTTAAGTAATAAAGGTCCCTTTTCAACGCCTTTAGGGGTATAGGGCATATAGGGCTAGACCTACATTTTTAAAGACTAATCGCCACAAGATGGGTGATGTGGTCAGCATCACGCCGCCCGCCTTTACCACCCGGGACTAGACCTGAGAGTCAAGATCATTTTTAAAAAAAGTCAGGCTCTGCCAGGAGCAAACCCACAACCTTTCAATCCGCATGGGAGCGTCTAGCCGCTACACCACGGTGACTTCCCTGCATAATGTAATAACTACTAATAAAAACAATCAAGTTTAAATAACAACTGCTTGCTACTGAAATAGTTAATAATGTAGTTAAACCAAGACCTGTGATAAAGCAATGATTTACCATATGGCATAAGCTGTTTATCATTCACAGAAAGGCTCCTTAAAACATCTGCTCCCTCCGGAGTCAAAAGCCAGTCTTGAACAAGTAACTGCTCTCGCTGTCCGGAATCCATTTTTGGACAGGTTATTTATCTGTATTTGAGATTTTACTCATTTGCCTAATTATTAGCTTTCCTTGTGTGCATACGCTAAGTACAACCTGAATGACTGGAGTGGATCGTCCGCTGTTTGAAGCCTGTTTCTGCGCATGCCGTTTTATTTATATATAGTAACCTAGAATCCTGCAATACATAAAATGGTAAATTATTTAAATTTATTAGGATTAGCCATTGGTATTAATGTTAATCTTAAAAAAAAAAATTTAAAAAAAAACGATTTTTCTTTTTAGTGTGAGACTGAGCACTGAGTAAATACATTTACAATTTTAGTACTTAATTATTTTTATTCAATGACGTCTCAGACTGAACAGTGACAGTCGTGTCTAAAAATTCACAGCACTCGGGACACTCCTATGAGCACTCTCCATCTTCAGCAGCAAGCTCTTGCAATTCTTTTGTCCAGAGAGCACCATGAAACAGATGCCTCTTCTGGGTTGATGACAACACCCATTTCTGCACACCAATAGAACTGAGCCTTGAGAGGCAGGGGCATGAAGTGTAAGTGCTGTGGGTAGTGGTCTTCACCCCCCCCCCCCCCCCATTTTACCAATTAGTCACTTAGTCTACAGCTGCCTGTAGTTCTTCGGCTGCCTGTTGCTCCCCTGCTTACATGCAAGAACATCATCTGCAAATGTCAATATCCTTCCAACCCCTGGTGCTTCAGGTTCTGCAATCTTGCTTGTATACAAACTGAAAAGTAGTGGTGAAATTGCAGAATCCTGGGGTAGTCCCAGGGCAATATTGCATGCTTCTGAGGTCCATGTACCAAGGCAACAGGCGACTTTACGTGAATGCAGGACAGCTGCTATCCAGTTCACCAGCCAAGGACACACCCCCCTTCTCAATGAGTGCAAATATCAAAATAAAATATATGACTCTATTGTAGGCATCCTCAAGATCAAGAGTAGCCACCACCACCCCCTTTCTGTTCTGAAACCCCTCATAAACATCAAAGACAAATGTAGCCACATTTGACCAGGTATCTTTTCCTGGCCGTTAAAAGCCCAGACCTCTTGGCAAGAGCTCATTTTCTGCAGTTTAACAGCAATAATCTTCTCAAGCACCTGGCCAAAAGCACACTGAAGAGTGATAATCCTGAAACCGCTGAGTCTCAGTTGATCTCTGTCTGGTTTTGGAAGAGGTATTAAATAGCTGTGCACCCAGTCCTTGGGTACTGATGCTGTTCTGATGCTCTCATTGATGTAGAAAGCCATCTGCTCTAAGTCTTCCTCATTCATGTCCTTCATGTGGGCATACCTGACTCTGTATGGCTCTGGCACAGTGTTCTTTTTTCTTTCTGCAAGATATGTTTTATATCATCCACAATAATAATCTCCTGATAGCAATTATCAATAATGGTTTTTGATAGATTATCCCTAACTGAATTTATAAGCTCCCTATCATTATGATCAGTTTGGGCTATAAATCTCTTCAAAATTCTTTCCCTTTCTCTTTGTCTGCTGGCATACCATTATCAGTGTATATAAGCCCTGCTGTGATAGGCCGATCCTTCCTTTGCATCTGTCTGTGCAGCTCCAAAACCTATCCAGTGATTTATTCCCCTCCAATTTAGCTTATAAAAAGTTCCCATTTAGCATTTTTTGCAGTGTTCCCGAACAGACAGGAGACAGTTGTGCAGCACTCGATCTTGAGGATGCCTACAACAGTCAGATATGATATTTTGATATCTGCAATCATGAAGAAGGGAGTTTGTCAGTAGCTTGTGAACTGGATAGCAGCTATCCTGCATTCACGTATGGTTGCCCCTCGCACCTGGGTACATAGACCTCAGAACCATGTAATATAGCCCTGGGACTACCCCAAGGTTCCGCAATTTCAATGGTACTCTACAAGCAAGATTGCAGAACTTGAAGCACCAGGTGTTGGATGGATACTGACATTTGCTGATGATGTTCTTGCATATAGGCAAGGGAGTGATAGACAAAGGATAGCCCAAGAGCTGCCGGCAACTGTAGACAAAGTGACAGACTGGTATGCAGAAATGGTGCTGTCATCAACTCAGAAAAGGCGGCTGTTTTGTGGTGCTCTCTGGACAATAGAATGTAAGAGCTAATGTTCCAAGCCTCACAATTAATAACAGTAACATTAAAAGAGAAAGCAAACTGAGGTACCTGGGTATCACTTTCAATAGAAGCCTGTCCTATAGGGAGGCAGTTGCAGTGAAATGCCAACAAAAAAAAAGACTCAATGCTCTCAAGATTATGACGGCAATGGACATGGAATAAAGAATGCTGTTCAGAATGTTCCAGCAGGTGATCCTGTCGGTGATAGATTATGGATTTAGAATGCTTACCAAATCAAAGAGTCAGCTGATAAAACCCGAACGCATACAGAATGAAGCCAGGTAATTCTGGGATGTACAAGAGATACACCGGTAGTATTATGCGATATTTACTTGTACTGCCAACTATTGCAGACAGGCTAAAAGTTATGCAGGCAAAGTCATTTCTCAGAGTAGCTGCAGACAAGAAGCACCTCCTGCATGAAGCCCTGTTTAGAGCTAAGGGTCACAGACTGAAACGAGGTCTCGGATGGCGCAAGCTAAAGACGCATTCGGACATGTGTGCAGGCTTGATACGAGGAGAGGAGTCAGGTCATGGTGTCTGAACAAGTTTCAGACTTGCATAGGGTTCTAATTACTTTAGGTAGTGAGTGTAGACTGGCCAGCTCGTGCTGCAGAATCAGAAGTTCAACAAATGATTCATGACGGTTTCCGTCCAAGTGATGTGATTATCTATACAGGTAGCTCTGTGTTGAGAGGCAAACGAGGTGCATGGGAGTTCACATCAGAGGCAAATGGATGTCGCTTAGTACAGCAAAGCCTTACATATGATATCACAACATCAAGTTTGAGAATAAAGGTGTAGGCAGTCTTTGCTGACTCACAGAGCATGTTGAGAAAGTTGAAGACAGGCATGCTTTCTGCAGAATGGCAGGCATCACTTCAAAAGTCCATGGTAGTTAGCATCCTTTGGATAATTTTTCTCCAGGTAATGCCGATGTGTTAGGAAATGAGCAGCCAGATAGACTGGCTGGCTCTGCACCACTTGGTGGTGAACTGATGTGTGACAAGCTAAATATTGTGAGGGCCTTTTGGGAATGAGTGAACAGTGCGGAGGCTCAGATAGAATATTATGGTCTGAGGAGAAGGGCCCTGCGAGGAGTTACTAGGGGATCTGGCTGACGCTCAACACTTAGGTAAAGGATGAGACGGATATACAATCGGACAGTTACTAGTGCCATCTGAATTGGAACTCTTCACCTGCTGCTGAAGTTGGGGCTGGATCACTGTCTTGAGCGCTGTGATGTCGATTCTTAATTCAATGTTAAATACTGACAGTATAAGAAAGGATGCCAGGCACAGGAGCGAAAATAATAGTAACACAAATTACTCTGTGCTGATGAGCAGGCCTTGACTGCAGATACAACCATGAATCTCACATCCATGAATGAAGAATGTAAATCAAATAACAAGAGAAGAGAAAAGACAGAAGTAATGTCAATTCGAAGAAAGAAGCAGCATTTAAATATAACATTAGAGCAACATATCCTAAAAGGGCATCTGAGTTTAAATATCTTTAAAAAAACATTTACTGAAGATGGTAAATTGGGTATTCATATTCATTCCCACTTTATGCTACCAGTGCCAGACGTGGTCACTCACAACAAAATATAACAGAAAATTAGTAACCATGGAAATCAAATAGTTTCTTCACTTGGTGAGAATGCCTCCTGATGCTATACCATACTAGGCATATACCAAAAGAGGAGAGGGACGTAGAACAAGAGGCAGACCAAGAACAATATAGGAAGATAACATCAGAGAAACTCTACAGCACCATGATGTGTCTATGGTCAAAGCAGCCAGAAAAGCACGAAGCAGGACCTTATATCCACCTCAACACCTGAAGCGGTAAAAGAGAACGTAAAAAAGGTACCCTGAACCTCTGTTGTACTATGATTATTCATATTATGATTCCACTAGCCCAGTTCAAGCACCACATCATGTGGCATATGCTTCACCCCGCTCTTTACCCGCTCTACCAGAATTAAGAATCGACATCACAGCACTCGAGACATTCCCATAAGTGCTCAGTCCCCCATTTTTAACAGCAAGCGAAGAGTTCCAATTCCGATGGTACCAGTAACTGTCTGATTATATATCTGTCTCATCCTTGGCCTAGAGTTGAGTGTCGGCCAGATCCCCTGTTAACTCCTCTCAGCGCCATTCTTCTTAGACCATAATAATATCATTACTAATGATCTATATGCGCCTCCGCATTGTTTACTCGCTCCCGAAGTGCCCTCACAATAACTTGTCATATATCAATTCATCACCAAGTGGTGCAGAGCCAGCCAGACTATCTGCTTGCTCATTTCCCAACACACCGGTATAACCTGAAGAAAACATCAAAAAGGTTGCTAACTAGCCGGGACCTCTGAAGTGATGCTTGCCACTTCAAAAGCAGACTACCCATGTTTTGGTCATCCAGTAGCCTACTGAGTAAAATTTTTATAAATGGTGTATAACTTTACACAGTTAAATAAATATAAAGTTATTTTGTTATACTAATTACTTGTTAACAAGCTCTGTGTATATGCAAGTGTACATCCAAATGAATCAACAATAAATATAAATAAGTCCGTCCGATCTGTTTTCACCACAACATTGTCCTTAGCAGTTTTAGCAGTCAAAAATTATATGGCTGCACAATCGCACTTTAATTGCTTAGAATCTATTCTTTTTCTTAAGGTCCATGCCGGGGGGCGTTGGTAGTCATGTCTATACATAACTTTCTGTCTCGTGGACCTTCAGTCAACTGTGACACACTAAGAGAGAATGCCTTGTGACGCCATACAGTACAAGATAAACTTAATAAAAAGGGGACGGGTATAGCGCAGAAGGTAGGCCAAGAACAAGATGAAAAGAAAAC